CTACAAAAAAATCTCTAAAAAGGTAGTTTCATACAAATGTTATCCCCTATTTTACCCCCTTATATATATTGAATTTCGAAAAATGCTAAAACACGTATTTATTTAATTTTATTGAAGAGCATTAATACCAAGTTTCAAGTAATTTTGACCATAAATATTTTTTGAATTGTATTATAAAGTGTTTTCCCGTGGGAATCAGTGTCACTCTTCAGCCCTCCAACTATCTCCACACAAAAAATCACTCCAATCCGTCTCTCCGTTTTGACGTGAAAGAAGGACAAACAAAGAAACGAACACACTTTCACATTTATAATATTAGTATGGATTATGTGCGAGTAAAATACGTCAACCATTTGTTATATATCGACTCAATCATTACGAATAAGTAAAGATGGATGATAATTCCTTCAATTGATGACATTCCTAATGATATCTCGTTCTGCGAATACTGTAGACTTAATGACATCACAGAATTGTTATTAGATACTAGACTCACTCTTGCTTCTTACTTTATTATCATTTCATGGGTTTTAATTATTTCCGCGGAACCCACATTCTTTTTCTAATATAAAAGTAGCCCAAAATACTCCTTATAGGATCAGCCATCTGCCAGTGAAAGTCCTGTTATAATCGGTCCAGCCGTTTCGGAGATCAGCTGTAACACACAGACAAAAATTTAAAAAAAATGTTTTTTTTTTCGTATTAGTACCGTATGGCGTATATTTCATATGCAATTAGTAAATGCCTGTTATTTTGATATTACAAACAAATATTTTAATTTTATCGGTATAGTTTACTAATAAATAAATCTACTTAGATATTATGTTTGGTGATATGGGTTAATACTTTAATAGGTAATAACTATAATAAAAATTTAAATATTTCGGGATTTATGGGATTATTTTATTTTACAATATTTAACCCCACTGATCTGGCTGCGCAGCCAGGCTGCGGCAATAAGTATCACTTGCTATTGCGATAATCATTTTTTTGAAATAATCGAACATTTAACCTTTAAAACTTTACTATCAGATAATGCAAAGTGTCCACTTCAATACTTGTTAGGAAGGTCAAGTTTCCGTTTATTAAGACCACTTCTATCATTCAATTCAATTCTTTGTTATATGGCTTTTAAGCATGCCAGTTAGGCACAGATTACTTCTCCAATGTCAAGTGAAATGGAGAAGATACGGTAAAGATAAGGTGTTAACCGGTTAAAAACAAAATATTCACACTGAGGTCTTATTACATATACTTAAAATATGAGTAATTAATTGTATAATCTGAACCTACTACCGACTAGAAAAAATATGTATTATTTATTATTAGATATTCGGATATGTTTTTTTTTTCTATAATGGCTTATAGTTGCGTTAAGAGACGCAGTCCATTCTGCCAGTGTCACGTTTTATGAGGAAGATACGAATGAGATTGAGCGGTAATTTTGAAATTTAGTAACTTTAATGTGGAATTAAATCTATAAATGAATGATCGAATATGTTAGTTTGTTATGTGAATGTTTTTATGTCAATAGTCGAACGATTTTAATGTTTTTTTTTTAAATAAATATTTCAACTAATAAGAGAGTAATGCAATATTTTAGAAACTCTATAGGTATAAGGAAAAATATCTTCTTGCATACAATCTAGTCTTTATCTCTTATGACTTTATAGATTTAGAGATTTATCTCTAACCACCAACTAAACTTAATTCTTAAATTGATAGAAAGTCAAACGTAAAAAAAAATATTTTAATGTTTTTCTAGGCTATTCATTATATAGTATGAATAACAAAAACATACAATTTATATGGGCAGTTATTGGTCTACATTTGGTTATAGATATTAAATTATACTTCTAAATACTTCCTTACATCGCTAAGATACCGTGATGAGAGGGCAGATCGTAACATATAGTTATTCTAACGGCTCACCCTCGCTTCGCTCGGGTTCGCCTCTAAAAAAGCACTAACAGATCTATCCCACGGGAACCGTTCATTTTTCCGGGATAAAAAGTAACCTGTTGTTTGGCCGGTAATATAAGGTATCAGCATGCCAAATTTTACTAAATTAGGTGCATAAGTTGATGTGTACTAAGCTGTATAAGTTACTATAGTTTTTTAACTATCCCACGGAAACTTTTAATTTTCCAGGATGAAAAGTATCTAAAATGTTGACCGGGGATATAAGGTACACCATGCAAAATTTCATTTAAATCGGTCCTATAGATTCGGAGATTAGCCCGTACAAACAGACAAACAAACAGAGAAACAAAAAAATTGAAAAAAATCTGGATTTGTTCTATTTCTCTTCTTATACCCCCTTGACTCGGTTTTTAGTATGTTTTTCTATGTACAGACATTCGACCTCTACAGTTTTATTATAGTATAGATATAAGTTATACGTAGCATGCACAATGTACGTTGTGTTTTAACATTTTGGTATTATAAATTTCACGGTACGTGGAACAGAATCGTTTCATTACACGCTTCCGATTTGCTGTAATAAAACAGCTTGGATATGTCATTTTTTCTCCGCGAGCTTCAACGTCTATTGCTTACTTTAGTAAGATTTAATTTATATTTTAAGGTATATTTAAAGTACCTACCTAGTTAACATAAACATACTTTCTTAGATTTAAGCGAATATTTGTCATTTTAAATAAAATTATCTTTTCAGGTTTTTTTCGCCGATTGATTTGGATTTTTGGTTGCTAATGTTTCGAATGCTTTACAGCAATTATGGTCACGGGAGAGACTAAAATTTTAGATAAATCCGCGAAAAAATCCGAAACGATAGTTTTATTCAAAACCTATAACTAGCTTTTGAAGGACATGTAAAATCCGGCAACCCGCACTTGTTGGTGGCCGATTTTCCTCATATTGAGGCAAAGCCCGTGCTCTGCAGTTGGACGTTAAATAAGGCTAAATGTTAGAGTGAGCCTATTCTGTCTTTTGCTACATCTAAATTGCTGATAAGTTTTTTTAATGTTTTTTTTAACAAGGCATGCAGATTGTATATAATTACAATACTTGATGTAAACAAATACTGAACGGAAGTATAAATTTATTCATAAAAAAATTAAACTCATAAAAAAGATGGAACAAAAATATTAAATTGAATTTATCTACACCAAAATCCGTCTCTACATTCAAACGTTGTTAGTAGCGATTTGAAATCCTGTTTAATTTTATCTATACAAACACACTCTCATAAACTTTTACCACATTAGTCTCTATACAATTATTTTAAAACAGACTTATGTGTGTAAAACCATGAGGTAGACGAGGTGGAACTATTCATGCCCCCCTCCCCCCCCCCCAACGTGCGTTCACCTTGTCGTGGTGAGAAGGGGGAGGGGGGGGCTCATTAACGTCTGGCAATTCAGCCGGGCGCGAAGCCAAGAAACGCACAGGGAGGTGGCCCACTTCGCGGTGGGCAATGAGCTGTGCGGGTTGCTCCTAGTACTTCTCTGTTAGCAGAGTGGACCGTGGGAGGTCGTGCCGAGCCGTCGGGGGTCGTGGTTGGGTGCGTAAAAGATTTTGCAACACGCCATTAAGACGGGGGAGGTCTTAGCACTGGTTTTTCAGCCGGTGAGTCCCACATAACCATCTGTATGTCTATAGGTGGCATGCGTAAATGCATTTCCCAACATAAAAAAAAGGTAGAACTATTCGTATCATTGCATCTTTAGAACATTGTCGACTCGTGCCCATACATTAACGTTCTCAGTCAACATATTTTTGAATTGATTGTACAGTAAAGGAATGTTACACAAGATAAATTCAATTGCCAACACTTGTATCAATACAGACTATTAAAATAGTTCACTTCTAATCGGAAGAATGTGTTAATAAATATTAAATGACGCTGTAGAAATCCAATAGGAAAAACTTGAGTTATTTTAATTGAAGTAATTAATAATCGTTTTCTCACGATTTATAAATATTTATAATGTAATATTTAAAAAATAGCATATACGCTGAGTCTAAGAGAACTTAGCAAGTTTTTGAACATGGGCACACTTGGGCAGTGTTGTGGAATACGGTCTGATCCCCCTCGTATTAAAGGGATGCCCGTGCCCAGCAGTGGGAATTTGAAAAAGATGATGAAGAAGAAGATTGTAGCTTTCATTTTATTCCATTCTATTGTATTTTAGCTTATCAAATTGTAAATAGTGCTTCTAAAACTTTAATTTTTTGAGACACTGAGACTGGGTCATTTGTACCATATTCTTAACTGGTCAATATTTTCGTTCTGGATGTTCATTTATTACAGAAGTTATCAGAAACGACTATCAATGATTTTTTCGACTTAATTCACTAACATAATCATACTGACATCTTAGTTTTTCCAAAATGTTCATTTTATAGCCTACAACTTTTCCAGATTTCTCTTTTAATTGGTGAAACCCTCATGAAAATTCGTACAGTAGTTTCTTTTCTAATTTTAGTACGTTCAGGTGAATATAATAAAGCTTGTTTAAATTTATAAAAAAGCTTTAAAAAATGACACCGTACATTGTATGTAGACAATATATATATAACACAGTAAAAAGGTCAACTAAGGTCCAGTTTGATGGACGACACAAAGACTAACTATTAATAAATTCATATTTGAGGACGCTAATTGATACTTTGTTACTTAGTTTATTTATAAGCGACAGTGCGTATTCTATTTAAATTTCTAGAACATTTGTGTAAGCTCATAGAGTAGGAGGAGTCGCAAGTTAGATTCTCGTGAGGGGTAATTTTTTATTTTGGTATTACTATAATATAGTGTATGTATGTATCTGTGTTACATGATTATAAATCAGAAACCATTGTTGATCTGTTTAATGGTTTTTGTAGAATAAACATACAGAATAAAATATTCTCCTAGTATTTTTATTATTATAATAAAAAGAAAACGTTACTAAGTAATTTATTTAATTAAATATATGGAACTAGCCATAACTTTCTTGACGTGGGCATATTTACTTACAAATTGTTCTTTTTTTCAGTACATGCGTTACTACTGAAAACCCACGAGAGTTTAGATGGAGTTGTGAGACGGACACGTGTTTACTGAGCCAGCAAGTGGTGCAGGAAGTCAATAGAGGCGCAAGCTGGCGGGCTTACAACTATACCCAGTTTTATGGCAAGAAATTGAAGGATGGTCTTATATATAAGTTAGGTAAGTAACAATTAGAATACGTTTCGAATGCTTTACAGCAAATATGGTCACGGAAAAGACAGTACGTCATTAAAGTCAAAGTCTACCCACGAAATTATACAATAATTTGGAAGTAAAGAAAAAGAGCACCGAAATTTTACAATACTTTGTTGATAATAATTTAAAACGTTTTTTAATGTTTCATGAAGAGCATTCTTCAACTAAAAATCAAAAAAATACCACGACAAAATCGTTAACAATAAGAAAATGCCTTAGTTTTTTAGTATTTTTCATACTTCAGTTACTAACTACTAGCGGCTCACCCTCGCTTCGCTCGGGTCCTTCTCTAGAAAAACAAAAACAATTCTATCCCACGGGAACCGTACATTTTTCCGGGATATAAAGTAGCCTGTATGATTATGATGCATAAGCTATATTATTGTAAAGTTTCATTAAAATCCATTCAGTAGTTTTTGCGTGAAAGAGTAACAAACATCCATACATCTATACATCCAGACATCCAAACAACCATTTGTAATACCTATTAGTAGGACTATATAAACATTAAAAGCAGATTTAGAAAACAATGTAAGTGAAAGTGAATTTAGAATGTAGTGCTCAGGAGAAAGTATACATACTAAGACCTAGCTTTTAGCTTTATTAGTATACCTATGAATGTTTTATTTCGTTACATCTATACATATAATAAATATTTTTTGAAAAATCTTATTGAAATAGACATTATTTTCGATACAGAGGCCGAATCAATAGTTTTTAGAATTTTTGTCTGTCTTTGTGTCAGAATTTGTGTCTGTCGGTCAATAAGATTTTCCAAAAATATTTAATGTACAGATTCGGCTTAGTTACAACTTTATTATATGTATACCTACCGTACCGCATGTAGATAATGTTATTTGATATGGATTTTAGATAAGATGGCACCTTAATTTTATCTGCAGAAAAATGTAATTTAAATTAAAACTAATGATTTTAAGTTAGTAGGTCATCTATGTACATAAATAATATTGTCTTTAACAAATCAAGATTACATTTGTTTAAATCTACGCTGTCGTAAGTAGGTCAAAAAAGTTCCAATTAATAGGTCGTTAATTACAATCGACTATTTTGCGTAATGGCTGTCTGTCTGTCACTGTTTACTATGGTGTAGGTCAGGAGTTCGATTTCTACCCAAAGATATTATTTGTTTAAGTAATAAAAGAAAACTAGTGCGATGTGTTCCACAGAGGGTCGCCCTTTCTATATTCTATTTTTTTCCTCTTTACTACCAACTTTTTTTTCCTTCTTCGCTTACGGATGATGATTTTGAGGCTTTCTAATTACCGGACAGATAGACTGTATGCTTAAATACCTTCTTTATTTGCCACTAAAATATATAGTTACTTTTAACTAATGAGGTAAAAACTATAAACATTTCAAAATCGTTTTAGATGCAAATATTGCAACCTTTGGGGTTAAAATTTATTGAATTCTATATACATCTTTGAGGTTTTCAAAATCAAATTGAGTATTTCGTCCCTCTTTGAAGTCGGTGAATAAAAGGTAAATATCTTGCTGTAAATAATAAGAAAAAATCTTTGTCCTCAGGAACAAAACCACTAAGCCGGGAAACAAGACACATGGGTTCTATAAGGTATGATAAGAACATATCATACCCCAATCACTTCGATGCTCGTCAACGTTGGCCAGACTATATCTCGCCGGTGGTGGACCAAGAGTGGTGCGGGTCAGACTGGGCTATATCTACTGCTACTGTGGCTTCTGATAGGTAAAAATTGATCTAAGCATTTTGTCAAGTGCGAGTCGGACTGAAAAGAAAGACTCAGATCGTTACAGGTTAAGATTCTGTCATTTTTCTCTGTACATGAGGTTTTTTTTATGTTGGGACATTAATACGCAGCATTATCTAGTTCCATGGTAAGCTACGAGGCTTGAGTTATGGATACCAGATAGTTGATACATTACACATATATAACTTTAAATACATACACATTATAAATATAAACACCCATGACTGGAGTACAAACATTCGTGGTCATCACACAAATGAATCAATATTATTTATCAAAAATAATTTTGTCAGTATTTTACATCTATAAATTAAACGAATTTGTATTAAATTCGAAGTAGTATATAATGCTGTTTGACATATATTTTTATTTTTTTCTACAACGCGAGTGGAGTCGCGGGCAAAAACTAACTATCCATATTGCCATCTGCATGAGATAGAATTTCTAATATATGATACCTGGCGTCTATTAAACTGTCACGGCTATATCCTTGAGTTCATTCGACCGCACAAAATCCAGTTGAACGTCTCTACTATTATATTTATATTAATTCACGCGATCGATTTCACTTGGGAAAATTAACACACTATTGCACGCTGCTTTGTCTTATATATAATTGTTTTTAATTTATTACTTATATCTGGAGTAAAAATATTTAATGCTAAATTCTTTTTAGTGAAAAAGTAATTTTCATTATATTTTTTTTATAAAAAAGATACACTGTAATCAATTTTTAAAAATTATTTTTGTGGTCTTATTGCGAAAATTTTTCTTTATATGGAAATTCCCTGTAGATATAATCTATTCATTTAAAAAATGCTCAAAATTTCAGAAGATATCACGATTTATATACACAAAAAAAAACTTACAACTACTCTTAGTTTTGGTTAAAAGCTGAATAAATGGTCAAAGCTTGAAATTTCTAGAGTACATTTTGTTTACGTATGGTAGAGACTTTTTAAAAAACCTCGCAACTCAAAGCCCATACATTTATAAACAAACAGACCGACAAAAATGTAATTAATGCTGTTAAAGTTTACTTAGTAGAATATAAATAACAGTATGAGCTTAACAATATTATTATAGCAAGTTACCCTAGCTCCACTAGAGTGCGTCACTAGGCTCCTAACAATATCTCTTTACGTATGTATATATGTGGTACTTTAAGTATGTATGTAATTGCATCCAAATCTATCCAACCGTTTTAGAGGGAAGGAGTAACAAACATACACACATACACTTTCATATTTATAATAATAGCCTCATGTATGTAGATTAGACATTACAAGAGTAATTATTATAAAATCTAAACAAAATAAGAGCTTTTCAACGTATACACTAAACAATTCGACTCCGCTATTTATTTGTTATACATTAAAATTATGTTAATAGGGCTATTTTAATAAAGCACAAAACGACAACTAAACTCTGCATTCAACACAAAAGAAAAGCAGGAATTCATATGCTAAGAACTCTCCAACTAAAAATAAGACGCTCGTTACAAGAACCCTCTGGAAAGTTCTCGGAGCTTTACATACTGTGTAAAATTGTGCCTTAGAAAAAAGCTTAGGTTACATACTTTACATAAATGTACATATCGCATGTATATATTTAAAAGTATCTGACATAGTGGCAGGTTTCCAACTCAAGTTAGTACGTGGAATGACAGGTCACGGGTTAGTTTTTAAATTGTTAGTGTGGTTAAGGAAAGGAAGGAAAACTAATTTAATATGCAGCTTTTGAATTTAACGTTATCAAATCTTTAAAATTGCCTTAAAAGTAATTATCCTACCCTTAAATAAATATTCTAAATAAAATTTTTGCTTATTTTGTATGATGTACCTAAGATAAAACTAATTATTAAAAAAAAGTGTGTGTGTACTCTACGCGCGCATCGTAATTTTTTTTTCAAACGTGCCTAAAAAAAATATAACTTTAAAAAAAGATATATAAAAATCGATACATAAGACGAAGAATCATGTAGCATACAGACAAACACGCATAAACTAAGAACTGCCTTTTTTGTAATCGTTAAAAATAATATGCAGCGAATAAATATTTGTTACGAGCGGGATTCGAACCCACAACTTTCAACGTAGAGATAAACAGACGTTTAGAGTTTTAACTTTAGACTTAGTGGGATAAGACGGATGTTAATATCAGATAATGTGAATACTAGAACTACTACTCAAGTTTAGGACCTAGCGCTATATGAAGTACTTCTTGTACACGAAATCGTGCAATCACTTTAGTTAATTGATAACAAACTGTAAAGTTTAATGGCTTTGCGAGTTCTATAGAACAATTAAAATATCAGAATATGTTGCCAGAATAGGTATGGCTATTAATTTTTAAATTAATTGTCAAAAAAATTTTTTTTTCCTTTTATTGTAATTAAAATACTAAACTATAGATATTGTTTTGTTAACCGACTTGTAAAAGAGAGGTGCTCTATGCTTGTGAGGTAGGTGAGGTGATTATTGCCGATATAAATTAAATATATATATATATATATATATATATATATATATATATATATATATATATATATATATATATATATATATATATATGTGTGTGTGTGTGTATATATATTGCCTCTTATAATGTTTTTTTTTGGTTTGAAGTGATTTTTTCAACTTCGTACTACAATAGCATTAATCAAGGTTTTAATATTTTTCTTTTCTTTACTTAATGCAATTTCTCGTCTAAACGTTCTAATCTGTACTAATATTATAAAAAGGTAGAGTTTGTTTGAACGTGCTAATCTCAGGAACAACTAAACCGATTTGAAAAATTCTTTTTCTATTAGATAGTCCGTTTATTGAGGAAGGCTATAGATTATATATCATATAATACAAATTCTGGCCATTCCATGCTAAAACTAACTTACGAAGTATTTATATACTTTTATATGTATATGAAATATGTTAACAAACAATATTTAATATTAAAATTATACACATATAACCAGATCATGAATATTCGCCACTCCTTACGACATTTCGTTTACAATTCCTAGCACTAAATGAACTTTAAATTACGCAATACACATAAATACTATTACAGGCTAATTTTAATTTTAATTAAATAATCATCATTTGATTTATAACTATAATCACAAACATATAATTTAAAAGTATTTTAATAAATTATAAATACTAATTTCAGCGATTTTAAGACTGGCAGAAATAGTAGACCCTCTTTGTGGTAAATCTAGTGACTCACCCTCGCTTCACTCGGTTTCGTCCCTAGCTTGCTTCCCCATACAAACTTTCATCCACATTCTCACCCCTTAAGGGATAATTTCCGGGATAAAAACTATTCTATATCCTTTCCAGGGTCTCAAACTATCTTCTTACCAAATTTCATCTAAATCGGTTCAGTAGATCCAGAGATTACCCCCTACAACACCACAAACTCACATACTTTACCTGTTTATAATATTAGTATAGATAAAATTTTGTACTTTTTAATTTTTACTTATAACTATTTCCCTTTTTCTCACTGTTGACTTCCCGGCTCTATCATAAATCAACAAAAATATTACATCTTATGAAGTTTTAGATCAGTTCGTCATTTAGAAAAAAGTTACTAAATAGTTATTAAATAATAGTTTATAGCTCATAAAAGCTTTATTACCGGTGTTTTTTTGAAAAATGATGTAAAAATTGCGTTTTTTGCTCAGAAAAGACATTTGACATCTTATGTGGGTAAAAAAATACGCAATTTTTACATCTTTTCTGAAATCTGAATACTACATTAAACCCAAACCATTAGAGCCGTTTCCGAGATATGTACACGAAACAAATTTATACATGTACAAGAATTGCTCATTTAATAGGTATTATAAGATTATATTATATAGTCAGTACGATATAACCTACAAGAAAACTATAGCTTAAACTAAAAAACGTCTATTTTGTACAGATTCGCCATCCAGTCTAACGGTGCGGAGCGTATGGTGCTCAGCCCCCAAACACTGTTGTCTTGCAACCGTCGTCAGCAGACTGGATGCGACGGAGGTAACATTGATGTCGCATGGAACTTTATGAGAAGTCAGGGGTAAGATAATTGAGTAGTTTAGATTTCTTTATGTTTTAAAATAATTTTTATAAATTATGTTACAAATTACGTTATATGGGAATGTGTGTTATGGGCAGCTTAAGCCATATCTTCATGATAAGCTAGGATAGCAAGTACTGCTACTGCGGCTGTACGTACAGAGGTCCTGTGTTCGAGTTCTAAGGCTCATCAATCATCAGGTTTCAGTCCAGATAGTTATTGGGTTAGATTTTTTTTATGGTATTCAGTGACAAACGAGCAGAACCCACCTGATATTTACTAACACTTAGGTTTTATGTAACAATAAAGCAGAGACGCAGGTGCGTTGTCACTGCGAGGACTAAGATGATATGCCTCTTGCTTGTAATTGCGCTGGCTACCTTATCATTCAAACCGGAACACAACAATGTAATCATTGTTACTTAGCGGGAAAAATAGATAAGGGGGTGGTACCCATCCAGTCGGACACCTCAGGCTTGACAGAGTCCTACCACCGGTTAGGTAAGTAGGTAATTCTTTGTAGCTGTCCAGAGCTTGAATAGTTTTACTGCCCTGATCTTGGCGCCTGATCTCACTCTAGTGATGTTAAATTGTAGTACCGACGACCGATCTGATTTTATTACATTAGTATAAAATATGTTATTACATAATGACGACGCTATGACATATTTTTCGAAATGTGACATTGTACAATGAAATTTAATAAATAATTTATTTACAAAACAGAGTCGTGGACGAAGAATGTTTCCCATACAAAGCCAGAGTGACTAAATGTCCGTTCAGGAAGAACGGCGATCTTCTTGAAACCGGCTGCAGAATACCGGTGAAGCAAAGGACTTCCAGATATAAGGTAGCACCGTCCGGGAAATTGAACTACGAACGCGATATAATGTATGATATCATGGACTCCGGACCAGTGCAAGGTAAGGAATTAGTAAATTATTTGTCTATACTAATATTATAAACAGGAAAGATTTGTTTGTTTGTACTGAATAGGCTCCGAAACTGCTGAACCGATTAAGATGAAATGTGGTAGGAAGATAGTTTGTGACCCTGGGAATGGTTTTTATCCCGGAAACCATCCCTTTAGGGGTGTGACTATGGGGATGACAGTTTGTATGGCAAAGCCAACTAGGGACGAACCTGAGCGAAGCGAGGTTGAGTCGCTAGTCTTTGAATAAAAGAACGGAGGCTGACAAGATGACATTCTACAATCACTATCGCTAATAGAAATTTAAAAATGTATTTTTCTATCTCGTTATGTCACGTGGTCAGGATCACACGAATCAAGGTATTAATTATGAATGTAATATTTTGTGTCTGAGTGTGTTTGTTACCTTTTTATGTAGATATGAATGAATGGATTTGAGTGTTTAGAATGGACATGGCTTATATTCTGGAAGCAAGCGGAAACGCGGGTATTAACTTACTAAACAATTTATGACTAATCTGTAATAAATATAATTGTACATTTTTCTTTGCCTTATTTTCTCTCTTTGTAGAAAGAACAAAATTCCCTTTTCGGTTAACTTAGTACCTACTTGAACTCGCTTATTCGTTTTCCTTCATCTTTTAAATAAGAAATTTTTAATGTTTAAAATATAATAATCCCAGTACAGAGAAAATTCTTTTGATATCGCAGAGAAAGTAAACAGATAAGAGTATAATCTTATTAAATTATATATTAAAATTTTATCTGTCCTTTAATGTTATTCTAGATTTTGTTTGGCATTTATAATGTTGTCACCTCAATAAACTCATAATTTAACCGTTATAATGCAAATTATTTGAATGGTTTCATTTCTTGTATTATACGTAAATATATTAACGGTAAGTATAGATTTCTCAAAGATGAGATATTTTCCCCCAGTAAAAAGTATTCTATACGTTGACCCAGATAACCAGATATTATCATACCAAATTTTATTAAAATCTGTCCAGTAGTTTTCTCGTGATGCGTTCCCAGACGGAAAGATAGACAAAAATTCTGAAAACTATAGACTCGGCCTCTGTATCAATAATAATAATAACTATTTCAATAAGCTTTGTCAAAAAATATTTAACGTACAGATTCGACTCAGTTAGAAAATTATTATATGTATTCTACTTATTGCTTTCTAATAACAAAAAAGCTTTGTTCTTTCTTTTGATTTGATTTTCAAACTTTTAAAACATATAAATTATGGTCATAATTTTTTATTATTATTTAGAACATAATTGACTACACCGAAGTATCAGTTTTTCTAACTGACACGACGATTTGTAAAAAATCCTTAGACTAAATTACAGTAGGACATATTTCATATAAATATTTCTACTTTATATAAATATTTTTATTTGTTGTAAGTTATAGCGCTTGTAAATCCCATTAATGTTATTGGCCATTAATATTATAAATGCAAAAGTTTGGATGGATGGATGTTTGTTATTCAATCACGTCAGAACGGCTGAACGGATCTAGATGAAAGGACCAGAGAAAGATGATAGCCTGGAATAACACATAGGTTACTTTTTATCCCGGAAAAAGGTACGGTTCCCGTGGGATAGACATTTTTGTCTTTCACTACGCGAGTTCCTAGTTGCGACATAAATCAACTTTGGAGAGGTTTACTTGCAATACAAGACTTTCATGTAATTCAAGTGAACTATTAACCTTAGTATCATTCGTTATTAACTAGAAATTGATTAATGATTATTATTTTTTTACACTCACGTATTAACTATACCTTAGTAATAAATAATATCTAATATATTTAAACGAGCAATACTTGTACATATACTTATATATATATATAATCTGAATCTCGGAAACGGCTCCAATGATTTTCATGAAATTTAGTATACAAGGGGTTTCGGGGGTGATAAATCGATCAAGATTAGTTTTATGTCTGGGAAAACGCGTGTTTTCGAGTTTTCATGTGGTTTTGTTTCGCATTATTCCACGCAAAATATGGTCGCTAATTCGCAAGCTAGGACATAAGTATCGTGATCAAGTGGCCAAGGCGCAATTTCGACAGCCACAGGGGCTTGGGTTCGTATCCCGGTCGGATACAAAGTTTTTACTTTTTTTTTGGTAATTATTTATTTTTTTTAAATGTATTTTTGGCCAAAAACTCCGAGCGAAGCTCGGTCGCCCAGGTACTTATGTATTAATAAGGAATCTGAAATTTCTTATCCCACAACATGTTAGGCTTTTTAAAATGTGCAGTGTGGTGTTCTGCAAGTTTTTATTTTGTCGGTATCTTAAATCGTTCGACATAACACAGTCATTAACTTACACTATTATACGATGATACAATCGGACGTGTGAAATACTCAGAATTTATTGCCATTAGCGACAAACGCTTATTATTATCGATCAAGTGCTTTCTTGATTCTCCGACCTTAGAACTAAGTGGGTTGTATACGTTATAACATTTTCTATACTTTGTATTCTTTGTTTATTTATTGTAAGTTGTAACCAACTCGCCCTCACTTCGCTCAGTTTTTCATAACTTACTTTTTCTGACAGTTATTATATGTATCTAGCTAGTTATGGGGTAGCTAGTACGTAGGGCTCCGCCCGCGTTTAGATGTCCAAAAAACAAATTCTTAGGTTTTACATATTAGTATACTCTTACATTGCAGTTTTTGTATTTTTTCTCAGAAAGGAGATATTTTTCCGCAGTAAAAAGTATCCTATATGTTGACCCGGTTAACCAGCTATCACCATACCAAACATCGAAATTCAATAAGATTTTCCATAAAGTATTTTATGTACAGATTCGGCTTCGTTACAATTTTATTATATTGTATAGATTTGTGAGGTACCTACTATATAGTATATACATTACAGATATTTATTATTTATATTAATTTTTAAACGGTTATATTTCCAGCGGTCATGACCGTGTACCAAGATTTCTTCCACTACCGCGATGGTGTCTACCGCCACAGCTACTACGGTGATCAAGAAATGAAGGGATTACACAGTGTGCGTATCGTTGGCTGGGGAGAGGAACGCGGTGATCGTTATTGGGTAAGTTGTAAATGTAATATACGCTATTATATTCTTTTTTTTGTTGCAACATTAACATACATCACCATCTAGTTCCATGGTAAGCTACGAGACTTGTGTTATGGATACCAGATAGTTGATACACTACACATATATCTTGAAATACATACATATTATAAATATAAACACCCATGACTGGAGTACAAATATTCGTGCTCATCACACAAATGAATGCCCCCTAAGTGGGACTCGAACCCGCGACCGTTGCCACAGCAAGTAGGTTCACTATAAACTGAGCCAATACCTAGTTATATTGATGATGTTCTCCTAGCCGATTCCGGCTACGGCGGCCAATCTCATTGAGACTAGCCAACTGCGCAGGAGATATTATAGTGCACAAGTGTACGCGCAGACACAACTCTCTCTTCCTGTCACTCTCATAATCTGGTGGGACAACTGCTCAACACGACCAGTGAGAGTTAAGGCACAGGACCGACAGCTTTACGTGCTCTCCGAGGCACGGGGGTAAAACACCGCCAACTTCCCAACTCCGGGCTGTTACTGAGGCTTACTATACAGAAAGACTCAGTTACTAAACTTGGCCCGATCCGGGACTCGAACCCAGGACCTTCCGAGTGTGCAGCCGTACATGCTAGCCACTACACCACCAAGGCAGTTAAACCTAGTCATATGAAAAGTATAATAAATGTATTATGTATATTATAGGTATAGTTAATCAATACAGTGTAAAACTCAATCTCTAATTAGAGAAATCTTACTTTAGGTACCTACCTTACTTAGGTACCTTGTTACTATAGGTACCTACTTATGTGGTTATGGGAAACATCATGAGACCCACAAATTAGAAAAAACCTACTTAGCTTGTTTTCAAAAGACTTTGCGTGGTCTAATCCTTCTCATATTTAATGGAGACAATGGGATGGCTGCCTAGTATTTTCATTTATTATTATTAAACACAAATGTCTGTAGTGCATATTCTATGTAATTTCAAATGTAACTGCCTTTACAATTTTACTACATGTATAGTTGTACTCAACCCTTTTTAACGTCTCATTGATGGGCACGGGCCTCCCAATACGAGGGGGATCAAGCCATAGTCGACCACAGCCCACGTGCGGGTTGGCGGACTTCACATGTCTTTTGAAAACTTACTAGTTTTCTCAGACATGCAGGTTTCCTCACGATGTTTTCCTTGACCGAAAGACAAGTGGTGATCATGTTAGAAATGGTTCACAAATGAAAATATCATACGTACGAGAGCCGGAATTTGAACCCGCATCACTCCGTTTCCACTAGGCTTCCACTGCCTTATGTATATTTGTTGCAAACGATTTGATTTAATTATAACCAAAAACTATATTTTCAGATCGTTGCGAACAGCTGGGGCTGTGACTGGGGCGAGAACGGTTACTTCAGAATCGCTCGAGGCTCGAACGAATCCGGTATCGAATCCTTCGTTGTGACCGTCCTCAGTGACGTCACACAAGCTTACGGCAAAAAATAGCATACAACTTTTCTAATAAAACCCCTCTGTGTGGTGTCTAAACTAGTGAAAACCAATCGAGGGTGGATTTTATTGAATACCACGACTGACTTTGGTTAGTGCCTTTTCGTATATCTCAAAATGTCGGAAATTGATTTTTTTTATTTTTAAAATCATACGAACATACGTTTTAGTTCCAAACTTATGGTAATCTATATTTTTGATTTGTCTTCATGTATTTATTATATTTAATTGAAATATTATTATTATTTTTTTAATTAGGTCACTATAATTCTAAAAGTTCAAATTCTATAGCCAGCCGGCTTTAAGCACAAAAATTGTCTACCATTAAGAGATATTTTGCAATAAGTTAATGTTTTTATGTGGACTAGTAAACATTTTATTTGTAAACTTGGAATTTCGGCATATTTATACGTTATCAGATTTAATCTAGACATAAATACATAAAATAATGATAAGAAATATAAAGAAATGTGGTAAGAATAGCTTACTGTCGGTGTATTCTTAAACACGGTGATATCATGTTGTCACGTGTTTGAATTTGAAAGGATTAGTGATGAACATTGTTAGATCATTATCGTTAGTTAAAACAGACAACTCTAAAAAAGCAAAGGAGTTTTAAAAAAATGGGTGCGTGTAACTTTTACGCGCGGTTGAAGTAAAACTTCTTTGGCAAATATCGCAATTAAATTAAAACAAATCAATAATAACGGGCATATTACAATCAGATATTTATAGAATATCATATACGGGAAGAATATAATATTATATATTTATCAGACAATAATAACGGTTACCATGGCAGCAAGGCATCATCATCATCATCATCATGTTCAGCCTGTTTTCGTCCACTGCTGGACATAGGCCTCTCCTATGGCACGCCACTGAGCTCGATCTTCAGCTCTACGCATCCAACCGCTGCCAGCCAGTTTACGTATGCCGTCGCTCCACCTAGCTGGAGGGCGTCCTACACTACGTTTGCCGAGACGTGGTCTCCACTCTAGAACCCGTCTACTCCAACGGTCATCGGTTCTGCGACATATGTGACCAGCCCACTGCCACTTCAACTTGCTAATTCTTTGGGCTATGTCGATGACTCTGGTTCTCTGTCGGATCTCTTCATTTCGAATCCGATCCTTCAGAGAAACTCCGAGCATAGCCCTCTCCATAGCACGCTGAGCGACCTTAAATTGGTGGACTAATCGCACCGTCAGTGTCCACGTCTCGGCTCCGTATGTCATAACAGGTAGGACGCACTCATTAAAGACCTTTGTCTTTAAGCTTTGTGGTATTGGCGACGAAAAGACCCGACGAAGTTTATTGAATGCTGCCCATCCCAGCTGTATTCTTCTTTGAGCTTCTTTCTCGAAGTAGTTTTTACTGACTTGCAGTAATTGCCCAAGGTAGATGTAGTCTTGTACTACTTCGAGAGTTGTTCCATTGAGAGCAATCGGTCCCGGTGTTACATGTGTATTGAACATGACCTTGGTTTTGTCCAAATTCATCCGGAGACCGATGTGTTTTGAAGAGTCAGCTAGGCTTTGCAGCATGTGTTGCAGGTCTTCCACGGTTTCAGCCATGATGACGATGTCGTCTGCAAATCTCAAGTGCGAAATGTACTCACCGTTTATGTTTATTCCACGTCCTTTCCAGTCCAGACTCTTAAACATATCCTCCAGTGCAGTTGTGAACAATTTGGGGGAAATTGAACAAGGCAGCAAGGCAATGTATTATAACTCGTTCTTTCGCCGGATTAATCCCATATATTTATGTGTTTTTCTTTTTTTAGTGTCGCATTTTCGTTTCATCGAGTTTCAAATCACAACGATTCTAAAGAAGTTTCACTTCAAAAACAAAAATGACAATGTCAATATCATCCTAAAACATTGTGCTATTATTATTTTTATAACAAAAGCTTGCTTAATGTCTAGTTTAGAAGAAATTAGTAATAAATATTCCAAGATTATCCGTATTCTTAAAACTTTATCATAGATAAGATATAAAATGTCAATGTCAAGGCGACTTAGCTTTGTACCAATATTCAATGAAACAGTATATTTTTATTATTATTTTTTGGATTTACATACATCAGATAGCAGATATAGTTATATTCAAATTTAGTAATTTCATGTCATTTTTTTTACTTTAGTCACTCTGAAACTCCATATTTAGAATAAAATATTGATATAAATTTTAAAATATACTTAATTATCTTTGCCAAATTGAATGTAATTTGTGTCAAATAAATTATATACTTATGAATGCACTTGTAGTGATAAAAATTACTTAATCTATTTTTCTAGTACTTATACGTAAGTTTAGTTTGTAAGTTGCTGAAAGCTATTAATTTTAAGAAATATAAGCTGTTTGTAATGTATTGAGTCCAGGTTATGCACGGTAGGTATGTAGCCAATTAACTGCCATTTTAAAAGTAGTTAATAGAAGATATATTCAAGATGTTCATTCAAAAGCCTTTCCACCTATATTGTAACTTCTAAAATAATCAAAATTGATAAATAAAGATACTGTTTTGATATAAAATAAATAATTACAAAATCTGTAAATGAACCGACACATCACAAAAAAGAACACTGTCAAGCACTAGTCTTAGATAAAATTAAAAAAAACTTTATTTTTAAATAAATTTAATCATCTCAATATATTATATTTAATAGACAATAAAATATATTTTTAGATTAACATTTTTGAATGTAATTTATGGAATGCACAGATTGTATTGAGTATAAAGTATTAAATAATAAAACTCAATAAAGCAAAACAATAGTATACAATTTTTCAGCCTCATCAATTAAAAAATCAAGTTTAAATTCTACAATAATTAACAAACTTAGGCCCCATACACACTATAGTGCCGATCATGGTTTGTTCTTGGTCCGATACCAGTTTTCTGAAGTATTTTTATACAGGAAACATTCACAATATCAGTAAAATTAAGTTCCAGTCAAGTAAGACTAACATTCATTGTATAAGAATACTTTACTAGACCGATATTAGACAAAGATTGGCACTATAGTATGGATCAGCTCTTAATATTCTTGTAGGTAGAATCGCCTGGACGAATCTATGCAAAGGATAGTTTTAAGCATTAACAAGTGTATTTATTTTTAATAAAATTATCATATTGTAACAAACTTAAGTTAATAAATATTTAAAACACCACTGTGTATGTTATTAAAACAAAACCTAAACGCTTCATTATGACATTTCCACGCTTCATAATATTAAAAAAAAACGTGTGTGTGTGTGTACTTATGTACATTCGTAACAAGTTATATTTCTTTGGCGTAACAGAACAAAAATAGCTAAAGATTTCATTCCATATGTCACAACTTTGTTAAAGGAATGCATCTAACTTCATGATGTCGCTTTTGGGCTGTCGGTGTGTAAGCGCATCGTAAAAATTTTACTATCATAATTTTTTTCTAAAAGTGCCAAAAGAAGTATAACTTCATTACCTAAATCTTTTCTAAATATACAAAAATTTTAGGTAGGTAATAATATTTACATTGCCATTTTTATACATGTTGATAAGTGAATAAAGTTTGTATTGCATTAATGAATAATGAGACAAAACAATGGATGAATACAACATTATTAAAAGAAAAACTTTCACTCTCAATACAAAATGTACTCTAAGATTGTAGTAAGAGTATTTTTCCTTCTACAATTTATTGCGATTGACTACTTTTAAAAGTTAGCCACTAAAATATATTATTGATAAATTGATCATAAAAGTACTAGATACACAATCAGCGACAAAAAATGTCCTCACCGAATAAACGCTCATTTGAACATTTGAGCGCCCTTTTAATTTTTTTTTTTTGTGAAAACAACTTTAAGCTTTGCATTTAAGGTTCAATTTACATTGTTGTATATTTATTTCAACTAGAATAATTACCTAAACATAATTGGTGACAGTTTTGAGAGAAATTTTACATGGGATTGTGTATCTAGTACTTTTTAGTTGATAAATGTTTTGATTGTGTGACTTAATCGAATGTTTTTTCTTCCTTTAGTAAGCTTTAGACTTGAGTAAGTTCTATATTCACATGTCCCCATACACTTATATAGTCCTTTATTTATATATAAAAAAGATAACAACAAACATTTACATTACATGGATCTTAACAAATTTATGAACACTTAGGTTCATAAATAATATAAATTTAAATTAATTGCAAGTGATTTTCTTATTCAAGGAATGTACACATTTTAAATAAAACTATCTTTTCGGATTTTGTCGCGGATTTATTTGTATTTTTGTTTCCCGACGTTTCGAATGCTTTACAGCATCCATGGTCACGGGAGAGACTGAGGTGTTACATGTCTTAAAGATATAGTTGTTACAGACAGCCTACCCACAATTAACAAAATGAAAATTGCACCAATTACATTACAATATTTTAACTTTAAATATTTTTATAATTTTAATTATAATTGAATATGGAAAATTATTTATTTAATTTTTGCTATTATTTTTATAATTATTAAAATTTTAAAATATTAATTAGTAATCTATATTTAGTGTTGCCATTATTATATTTATAACCATAAGAAAAATATAAAATATAGTATTAATTATTTAAGCCACAATTGATCTATGTGTAATTTGAAAAAGTTAAGATTAATTAAAAATAATAATTTTAATTTAAATTTGCTATTATTTAAAAAATAAATTATTAAGCAACACATTACTACATACATTTACAAATGAAAAAGTGAAAAAATATTATTAATCAGAAATGCTATCATTTTGATCTACACAGTAAGAACTTACTACATCTACCTGTCTGTTATGTTTAGATTTATTATTAGATTTTATTATATTAATAACAGGATCCCATGACGATGGTAGTACCCAGCCATCTTCCCTATTGAAATTAGGATGTTTTTTAATTTCTATGGCTTCTCGAATCATTCTAGGGCGATATCGGTTTTGAATGTCCCTAGAATGATTCGAGAAGCCATAGAAATTAAAAAACATCCTAATTTCAATAGGGAAGATGGCTGGGTACTACCATCGTCATGGGATCCTGTTATTAATATAATAAAATTTAATAATAAATCTAAACATAACAGACAGGTAGATGTAGTAAGTTCTTACTGTGTAGATCAAAATGATAGCATTTCTGATTAATAATATTTTTTCACTTTTTCATTTGTAAATGTATGTAGTAATGTGTTGCTTAATAATTTGTTTTTTAAATAATAGCAAATTTAAATTAAAATTATTATTTTTAATTAATCTTAACTTTTTCAAATTACACATAGATCAATTGTGGCTTAAATAATTAATACTATATTTTATATTTTTCTTATGGTTATAAATATAATAATGGCAACACTAAATATAGATTACTAATTAATATTTTAAAATTGTAATAATTATAAAAATAATAGCAAAAATTGAATAAATAATTTTCCATATTCAATTATAATTAAAATTATAAAAATATTTAAAGTTAAAATATTGTAATGTAATTGGTGCAATTTTCATTTTGTTAATTGTGGGTAGGCTGTCTGTAACAACTATATCTTTAAGACATGTAACACCTCAGTCTCTCCCGAGACCATGGATGCTGTAAAGCATTCGAAACGTCGGGAAACAAAAATACAAATAAATCCGCGACAAAATCCGAAAAGATAGTTTTATTTAAAATGTCAAATATTCGCGTAAATCTAAGAAAGTAGAATGTACACATGTATAGTTTTATACAAAACGCTAACTAGTTGTTGGTTTTGGCTGATTTGATGTTTTACATTTGGCTGCCTTCTCAACATTGGCCGCTCTCACCTAAAAATATAATGTAAATTAAAAAACATTTAAAATTGTAGCCTTTGCAACTGATGTATGTTTTTTTCTAAATGATGTCTTTGTAAACGATATATGTATATGTTGAAGAGGTTTAACACTTCCAGGTAAATTTCTAAGAAATTAAATTTCTAAGAAATCTATTGTTAACTGACACGCCGCGTGTCCGCGGTCGTGGAGGGATTAAACCACTGTCAAAGTTACAATAAAAACATCTTCTTCTCCCTGGCCATTTCCCAATCACTTGGGGTCGGCGCAGTACAGTAAGAATGATCTTAAATTTATTAGTAAGCTAAAGAATACTAGACTATGGCTGGAGAGACTTCTGACACCATACTCAGATCAACTTGATGATGACAACTTATTGTTGTCATTAACCGACTTCCAATTCCAAAAAGGAGGAGGTTCTCAATTCGCCGGAATCTTTTTTTTTATGTATGTTCACCAATTACTCGAAGACACCTGAACCTGATTTGGATTTTTTTTGTTTCAAAGGGTATACTTCCCAGGTGGTCCCATATAAATTTTATCGAAATCGGTCAAGTGGTTTTTAAAAAAAATCTACATTAAATATATTTTTTAAATAAATTGTTTAATTGAATATGTTATTTAAGAAGATTCTTCTTACAAATTACCTGCTTATTATGTCTACACTAAAAATGGAAAAATAATTTTTTTTTAACAAAAAATAAAAACCAACTTCCAGGCACTAAAATGTAAAAAATAACTAAAGGGAGGTTTTCATTTAGAATAGATACTTAATCAGATATTTTCGAAGTCGGTGCCAGCCTACAATATTTTAAAATATAATATCTAATAGGTAAATATTATGTATTTTGAGTATCGACATATTATAGATTTGCTTTGCATCAGCTGTTTTTGTTGAAAAGTTTTTTTTTTACAAATGAAATGACGCAATGTTTCAAAGACAATATCATACCTGCAAAGACTGCACTCTTTTATGTAAAGTAATCATTGTATTTGTTAGTGATGTTAGCTTCTCTTTATTTGTTGCTATGTCGGCTAACTGAAACATACAGTGTAAAGTAAATTTTTATTAGAGTGTGAAAATTTGTTTCTAAATGAAAGTAAGTAATTTTAGTCTAATTTATATTTATTTATAATTATAATAAATAAATACAAACTCATACATATTTAAATAAGCACTTTTGAGAACAATTTAGCATCCTGAGAGAAGCTAGTTAGAGTAAGTCATTAAACAGATTGCTCTTTTAAAATAATATGGTCACATTATAATTATCTAAACAATTAATTCCAAATTAAATTTAGTGATTTAGATGTTAAAATAGTTTTCTAAAACAAATGACAGTTTAAAGATCGCACAAAAATATAAACATTTTTTATTTAAATAATTATTACACAAAACTAAAAGGAACCTATTCTAACTCACTAAAGCATCCAGCATAGCATCATTCTGCAGATCTTCTAGTCTTCGTCTTTCTGAGGATAACAAGCTGTGTACTGCTTCTTGTTTTTCTCTAAAATTTTTAAAATGTAGGGCATATTTATAAATGAAAATTTAAAACATGACTTTTCAATGTTAATTTTTTTTTTATTTTAAACTTACGTCAATTCCTTCAGGTGAGTATTTAATGTAACTAAAGGGGGTTCATATATTTCCAACAGTCCTTTGGCTAAAAGCTGTACAGTTTTGATATCTTCAGGTTTGGCAGGACTTTCATTGGTACTAAAAGGTAAAGTAAACTATATTAACCCATTTAAATATTAAAGTTGCGATTTAAGAACTCGTTCTTACGTTTCTTCCTCTGTTGTTTGTGACATGTTATTTATGTATTAAATTTTCGTTTTATTTAATTTTTCAAGTTTTGCTATTAATTTGATTAATGTAATTTTACACGACGAATAGGTACTGAAAACTGAAAGCTTTGTTGACAAATGACATGTGACAACTGTGACAAGATTCAAGAACGAGTCAACGCAGTTGCAATGACATTGACAGCATTAACACAACAGTTTTTTTTTAATCAGAATATTAATATTTTTTTTACTTGAATTTACAGCAGAACACAAAAAAATATGTTATTATGTTATGTTATATCATTTTAAAGGAAATCTTTGAAATCTAAATCATGAACAACAATATCTTTATTACATAACAATTGTTTCATTATGTTATTTCTTTGTACCTTGTGAATTATTTGAAATTGAAATTATTTTACTGTTATTGTAGAAAGATTACCTGTCTATAAATTAGGCTTGATTCATTTTTAAAAATACTAACAAGTATAGACTATTATGAAATACATAATATGACTCATATTATTATGTATTTGAATGAATTAAAAAAATCACTAGGTATTACAATTAGATTCATTATGTATTAGAAACATAACTGTCATATGTTATGACAGTTATCAGTTATGTTTCTAATACTTATAATATAGAATATAGAGATTTTCCCGCTGTAAAAATTAAAATGTATCCTATTGTTGACCCGGATAATCAGCTATCATCATACCAAATTTCATCAAAGCCTGTCCAGTGGTTTTCTCGTGATGCGGTCACAGACAGACAGACAAACAAATGTTCTAAAAGCTATAGATTGAGATTTGAGCCTCTGTATCTATAATATTGACTATTTCAATAAGATTTCCAAATAAATATTTAATGTACACTTTCGACTTACTTAGAATTTTATTATACGTATAAATATAGATAAATAAGCGGCCAGTATTATTACTATAAGTACTAGCAGAATTCTATTTTTTCAAAGATTATTATCCATAGATTATACACTTATATACTGGTTATTATCTAGGCCGAGTCTATTAATACGGTTACCGTACGAAAAATTTATAATTATTAATACGGGTACTGGACAAACAATTTATTATTATTCGTACATAAGTCGGACGAATAATTTTATTTTATCAATTAGAGTGGAAATTTAAAAAGATAATAATTTTGCGTTTCTACTTGTTTTTAATTTAAACCAAAAAATGGTAAATGTTTGCCGATTTTAATACTATTAAATACTACTACTACTACTAACCTAACCAAATCGATTAAAAAAAAAAACCTAACCTAACCAAATCGATTAAAAAAAAAATAAGTATTAGTAATAAATTTAATAATAAAAAAATAATAATATCCGTATGAATATACTCATTTACGAATAAATATAATTTATTCGTCCAGTACCCGTACAAATAGTCACTTCGTATTATCTATCTGTATGTTTATTTTCCGTGAAACGGAATAAAAAATTTATGGCCGCTAGATTTCTTGTTTATTTGACGTTCTTCGATCTTTCATATTCCGTTGTTCAAGGAGGGGATTTACAGGAATCAATCGCGTAAATTGCGTGTACACTAATAAAACGGTGAATTAACGTTATAAATCTGGAAGTATTACAAGTAACCCGTGGGGACGCCGAGATGACGTCCGTGGCGAGGAGGCGAGAACAAGACGATTCGGGTGAATACTCCGATGCATCGCAAGATATCGAGCAGAACCACTCAGGGAATGTGAGTTGGAGAATCAAACTAACCATTATTGGACTGAACTTTCATTTTGGCGCTTAAAGTATCACGGTCGCGCACTTTCTCCCGCTCATTCGCGTGTTGGAATGTACATTTCTTTTCGCCAAATTGGGGTCAAGAATTGGACACCATTCACCGCAAAACGTCTGCTGTTGACAGACTATATTTTGGAATCATCAATTAGTAGCCTATTGTAGTACAGCTGGAAAATAGTTATAGTTGAATTAAAGTTTGTGCAGTGAAATGCAATTGTTAAAAGTTGCTGTCCATTTGCAGGATGGTGGCCAGCATGAATCAGATTATGATTCTCAAGGGAGTGACTCTGAGCGGTCTGATGGGGATCCAGAGAAACAGGTGAGTTAACACAACCAGTTGCAATTCATTATAAATTCATAATTGTTATGAAAGTGCATAAGTAGTTAACGTCTGTGTGCATCATTGCATATTTCTATTTGACTTGTTATTATTAATGGAAATTAATGATGGCTTTAATTTCTAGTAATCTCACAAGTCAGTGTATATTATATACAAATGTAATTAATTTAATTAATTGTAATATAATAATAAATGCTCTCTAGAAAGTAATTCATTCTATCTAAATAAATATAACAAACTAAATAGATAAATTTATTTTTAATTTCCAATAGTACTATTCGTTTATTTATTAGCATATTTGTTATTACTGTGCTCTTGTCTCTTTATATATTTGTTTTTGTTCAATATTAAATAAATTGTCTATACTTAATATCATAAAGAGAAAATCTTGTTTTTTGTATGTTTCTATGTAATCGATAAACTAAAACCAGCTGAATCAATTTACATGAAATTTGGACAGAGATAGTTAAGAGACCCTGGAAAGAACAGGATAGTTTTATTCTAGAAATCATCTCTTAATAGGATGAAAAGGGGGACGAAAGTTTGTATGGGGAATCAATCATTTATCAAATAAGGGATATATGTAAATCTTCTTTTATCTATATATATACATTAATATATAGTCTATCTATTCCACACTTATTGTTAAAACATACCTAGGAACGAATCTGGGCAAAGAAATCCCTTGATCAAAGTAACAACTAATTATATAGTCAATATTATGATTACATTTTATATAATTTGACACTTTATTAAATACAAAAAAACAGGGAAACATTACAAACTTCATAATCTATACTTTATAAGATTTCTTAAATTAAGATACAATGTAAAGTATAAATAATAAAAAGAAAGATTTGATAAACTATTGGCCAACAAGTATGCATAAGAATTTAAATGAAAATAAATAATACTAGATAATCACCCTTGTTTTCGGTTCATCTCTACACATAAACAAATCTATCACACGGGAACTGTGCAATTAAAAAATGTAACTATGTGCTATTCCAGACTATAATCTATCTCTGTGCCAAATTATCTGTGCCAAAAATTAACACACAACATATTAAGAAAATTGAAAAGTAACACACTGATATGTATATCAATAACTAGTGTACATAACATTCACCAACAAATACATAATAAACACTGAGAGAGGAAAAAGGAAAAAAGAATATACATATATATTTATTTCAATGTAAATGAAGATGTTTTTTTTTAAATACAGCATAAGAGTTGTGAAATATGTCGATGCCAGGCAGAGGTTTGCTTAAAATAAGCAACAAATTATTTAAATATTTAATGAAAATTATACTTGTTTTATTATTAATTTCTTTTTTATGCATTTTCTAATTTATTTATGTTTAATCTCATAAATAAATTAGTATAAAATTGATTGTAATCATAGTATAATCTTTCAGGAAACGGAGCGACGTGTAGATGACGATGAGGACCGCAGCAATCCACAATATATTCCCAAGAGGGGCACTTTCTATGAGCACGATGATAGAACAGCTGCTAGGTAATTCATTACTAATATAATATTATTTAAATCTATTATAAACTAACTCCATACGCTTGTTTCGCTCGGGTGCGTCCCTCAATAGGCAGATTTTGTTCACAATCTCATTGGATGGTATCAAATAAACAAAAAATTAGATTAACATTAACATGTCATATTATGTTCTTATAATACTTTCAACAACCTCTAAATCCTTCACCTTCAGTCTCTCCCGTGACCATGATTGCTGTAAAGCATTCGAAATGTCTGGAACCAATAATTGAAATATTGAAATAAATCTGCGACAAAATCCGAAAATCACTCATCACGTCAGTTATCGCACCACCTATCCGCATATAGCCTAGGACTGATTGCAGATGAAAACACAGAAAAAAGACTGAAAATATAGTTTTATTTAAAATGACATATTCTTATTAAAATACTTGTTATAATAATGATGATTAGCTCATGCTAAAATTTATGCATCTCAAATTGTGTTCAAAAATTATTCATGTATGTGTTGCGTTACTCATTATGGCAATTAAGATTATAATAATAATAAGCATAGCTATAAAATGGTAATTTTAACAAATTAAGATAGAAGACTGTATTCTTTGCTAATATTAATAAGTAACAGAACAATATTTTACAGTTCAGAAAGTTTTAGTAGCTTATGCCTGCGGGTCTGTCTGTATAGTTTATTATATAAAACTAGTGACTCACCTTCGCTTGGCTCGAGTGCGTCTACATAGCGTCTCTATAGTTTAATAGTTCTAAGAGCACCATCTAGTTCTACAAGGCTTGTGTTATGGATACTGGATAAATGATATACTACACATATATAACTTTAAATACATACATATTATAAATATAAACACTTGTAACTAGAGTACAAACATTTTTGCTCATCACACAAATGAATGCCCTCAGCGGGACTTGAACCCGCGACCGCTGGCACAGCAAGTAGGGTCACTACAAACTGAGCCAAACGTGTCGTCAATCTAATCTAAGAGAGAATATAACTATTGTCATGGCATATTAGTTACTAGCATTGCCCGCGGCTCCGCCCGCGTTCCATGACCAAAAACCAAATTCTTAGGTTTTACATAGTAGTATACTCTTACAATGCAGTTGTTGTATTTTTCCTCAGAAATGAGATATTTTCCCGCGGTAAAAAGTATCCTATATGTTGACCGGGATAACCAGCTATAATCATACCAAATTTCATCAAAATCTGTCCAATGGTTTTCTCGTGATGCGGTAACAGACAGACACAGACAGACAAAAATTCTAAAAACTATAGATTCGGACTCTGTATCGATAATAATGTCTATTTCAATTAGATTTTCCAAAAAATATTCAATGTACAGATTCGACTTAGTTACAATTTTATTATATATATAGATGTGATAGATGGGCACTTTACGCCACGTAACCTGAGGGTTTAATGCGATCATAATACTTTGTATGCGTCAACATTTAGTCTGTTATTGGTGGAAGCCTAGGGGCTGCGAATATCTCGGAGGTTCTAGGGCTCTACAAATAACATAGGTAAATACTAATCTATACTATTATAAAGCGGCAGTGTTTGTTTATTTATTTGAACGTTTGAACGCGCTAATCTCAGGAACTACTAATCCGATTTGAAAAATTCTTTTTGCATAAGATAACCTGTTTATTGAGGTTGGTTATACAACATCCGAGAAAATGTACGGTTTCCGTGGGAAAGATTTATTTTAGTCTAGGGAAGAACCAGAAGTGAAGAGAGGGTGAGTCGCTAGTAATTTTTATAAAAATATACATAATCACAAAACAATACTACATTGTCTATACTAGAGTAATATCCAAAACATTTAGATTCACACACACATGTATATAATATGTATGGCTTCATTAATGTAGCCTTAAAACTATGAAGGGCGTAGGGATTAAACGAGGGATATAAAAATTGTATAATAGGATATACTTTGTTAATTGTACAACGGATTATGGGAAGTTTTCCATTATTTATATTGAGTTTGAAAAAGGAGGATGTAATGGAGTAGCACATTTTTATTTTGTACATCTCAAAAGTGGTCTTATATAATTTTTGAGATCTTTGCAAAATATATATAAATTAAATATTTTTTTAAGTTTTCTATATAATCTTTGTGTAGTGATGAAAACAGTATGAAAATCCACTAGATATTTAAAAAAATACAAATGTACCAATGAAATTTTGAACTAAAGCCTAGAGACACGCACCCGAACGAAGAAAATTTTACGTTTTGTAATTTTGGCTATATGAGCAAAATTATAAAACGTAAAACCTGTCCATCAATCAAAAAAGTACTAGATACACAATCAATGACAAAAAAATGTCCTCACCGAATGAGCGCTCATTTGAATATTTGAACGCGCTTTTAACTTTTGTTTTATTAAAACAACTTTAAGCTTTGCATTTAAGGTTCAATTTACATTGTTGTATATATATTTCAAGTAGAATAATTGCCTAAACATAATCGGTGACAGTTTTAAGAGAACTTTTGCATGCGATTATGTATCTAGTAATTTTATGATCGATAAACCTGTCAAACTTTAAAACTCCAGCCAGAGTAAAATTGATCTAAGACAACATACACACACCAGTCACCCAAATATAATCTATGACATCGTACTCTAAATATTCATAAAACTAAATATTTTCAATTACAATGCATGTACAAAGCCCACGTTACTGCTTTATTTGATGTAAAGATACCACCGCGATAACATATAATTTTAAAACCGGAACTAAGCGTTTAAAAAACCTTTCCTGTTGAAAATAGTTTATTTAAGTCAAGTTGAAATAGTTTTGATAAGGCCTTATTTATATAGGGATTAGAGTTTATTATACAATTTTTTGTTAAATCAGCTGTAAAACAGAACATTGACCGAACTGTCCAGTGATGTGTTAAGTCTGTAACGTAATATGCATCTATTATGTAGAAAGTTTCGATTTAAAATCTAGTGTTTCAATTGATTCTTTAATAGTTTTGTAATTTTTGATGAAGGTATTAATCTTTACAGCCACATTATATTTTATTTTGTCTGTTGAAAGTTGATTTTCTTATTTTAGTTTTTACTTTATATATTTAATTATAATAATGGAGTAATAAATTAAGCACTTTCTAAAATCGTGATATTTGTGATTTGCAAATGATGTTTGCCCCAGATAATTTTGTCGTTTTGATATATAATGGAGCAAATATTGTTATTTTACTTATTTTAAAATTATTCTTCAAACACATCCTTAACAAATATTAAAAAAGGAACTGTGCCCTGTCCTTACTGGAGATAGGAATTTGACATAATTTGTATGGAGTTTATGTCAAATATATATAAAGAAAACCACAGATAGGTTCTGGGGATCCCTTTATCCCAATAAGTTAAAAATATTTTTTTTTCTTGAACAGTGGAGAAGAATCGACGAACACGACGTCAGAGACGCCATCGGAAAAGAAGGATGGTAGTGAAACGCCGGTTGAGCGTCGTCGCCCGCCACGCAAGTCTGAAACACTTAACAAGTGGTCACATGACAAGTATAATGAGAATGAACAGGTGCGTTCTAATAAAACTATCGAAATATTGTAATTGTCAAAGTTTATATGTGTATGTTTGTTACTTTTTGACTCTGAAACGGACGGACGGATTTGGATGCAATTTATTAGATAGATTATGATCTCAACTCTAGACTAAGGAATAATATAGACAGAGTGTCATAGAACTAAACATAAACCCAAACAATAATTATTTAAAGAAATATCTAGAACTAGCGGTTCACCCTCGCTTGGCTGGGGTTCGCCTCTAGAAAAACGAAACTAATCTATCCCACGGGATGTACATTTTTCCGGGATAAAAAGTAGTCTATGTGCCATTCATAGACTATAATCTCTCTGTGCCAATATCATCCAGATCCGTTCAGCCGTTCTGGGGTGCTCTTAGTAAATAATAAAACGTGTCGTGACGGTCGAAATATTACATTTGTCTCCGTCTAGCTCTCTTTTACCAAATGCCGAGTGTAACGTGCGATAAGGAACTTTGTTCCAAAACTTAATTGTACGATTTATGTTATATTCTTACAGATGCCAAAATCTCGTGACGAATTAGTAGCAATATACGGCTACGATATAAGGAATGAAGACGCTCCGCCGCATGCCAGACGCAATAGGCGATACGGGTAAGTGGAAAGTATAGAATAATTTTGTTCAAAATAACAAAAAATACGCCATAACAAATTGTAACATACGATATCGTAAAAAGGTATCAAATTGGAGGTTAATGAGCTTTTAAATATCCGTTATCAGGACGTCACGTACATACATAAAAAGTTTGTAAATTGTTAGAAGTAGGTAAAATTTTACTTTCGAGGTATGATTGCAAAAGAAGCTACTAAAAGCGTGTTAAATTGTTTTTTTATTTTTTTATTTTAGGCCTGATTCGGGTTCGAATCTTGACCTAGACATGTTCGCTACTTGCAAGGAACACCATTGTAACGCATGAATTTTAAATATCATGAAAAATGTTCATGATATTTTCGTGTTAAATTGTTTGGTGCTTGGAATTGTACCTTTCTTTTTAAGAACTCAAATAAGTAACGAATACTCTTAAAAAAAAATCTATCCTATTTGATTGACGTCATCGCACTAAAATTAATTGATTTATATTTATCATTTTTTGGTAAATTGTCTTTTGTTCTTTCATAAAATCCAACGATCAAAAAAGTACTAGATACACGATTCCATTCAAAAGTTCTCTTAAAACTAAATCTAGAATAAATATACCACAATGTAAATTGAACCTTAAATGCACTGGTTAAAGTTCTTTACATAAAGAAAAATTAAATTAAAAGCGCGCTCAAATGTTCAAATGGGCATTCAAATGGGACATTAACAAGTAAACTTTCAATACAATTTCAACATATAATTCTGAAATATACTATACTAAATATTATTAACATTATATCTAGTTATATGATGATATATGACCAATGTAAAAAACCATAGTAAGATTTTAATAACTTATTTTTATCAAATCCTTTTTGCTACATGGAGGTACAGATATTACCGGTTAGTGAAAACCATGGAGTCGTTAATGCTTATTTGCATGTATATTTTTTGCAGTTAACTTCTTTATGTTATGTATTTTTTATTATTAGATATTATTTTTTGTGCACATGATAATTTGTATGTTTGTTTGTGAAAAGTAATTTTGTTTGTTATATTTGAAGATACAACATATAATTAGCTTCTTAGTTTTTTCTATGTCAATCTGGTTTTAGTGCCTTATAAGATAAAATTTACAAATTTTTTATCTTCAGAGTAAGTTTAGGTGAGAACAGTTAAAACAATAGATTTAATTAAAAATGCATGTGATATCAATATGTATATATATATCGCAGTTGTCTCTAAGTCTTAAAACAAAGAACAACTGCGATATAAACAGATTACATTGATATACATAAACTAAAAAGATGCACATAAATTATACGCCTTTTTCAATTCTCTTTTGTGCATTGTTATTCGAATGACAAAATTAAAACGCAACGTTGTTTTGTTTAAAAAAGTACTTTATGTGCGTAAGTTCCAATTTGTGTTTAGACAATTAGAACTTTCGATTTTTAAACTTTATTCTTTGGTTTGACTTAACGTAACATGTCGACGCCATTTTTGATTTGATAGAAGAGATATTTGTTAGGAAATGTATATTTATTTATGTTTTTAATTTTTATATATCAATAGAAATTGGAAGTTTTAAATTTACCATTCCATTTATACAGTCAAAGGTAATAATATTTAATATTTATTTTATATGGCTACACGTTTGGCACAGTTTGTAGTAACGCTACTTGCTGTGCCAGCGGTCGCGAGTTCAAGTCCTGCTGGTGGCATTCATTTGTGTGATGAGCGTGAATGTTTGTACTCCAGTCATGGGTGTTTATATTATAATATATATGTATTTAAAGTTATATATGTGTAGCGTATCAACTATCCGGTATCCATAACACAAGCCTCGTAGTTCACCATGGAACTAGACGGTGCTTTGTGTTAATGTCCCAACATATTTATTATTTAATTTGCAGTCGTGGACCTAATAAGTATACCAGAACTTGGGAGGACGAAGAGGCGTATAAACGTCAAACTTTGCAAACACCACACAAGAAACCACCAAGTCCAGCCGACTTCCCTGAACTCAACGCTGCTAATAAACCTGGGTTCGTAAAAATGTTTTTTTTTTTTTAATTTGATATCTGAAATTTAATTACTTTTAGGAAACAGTTTGTAATTTAAAAATTAAAAATGCAAAGTTGTTTTAATAATATTGTTAAATATTCCAATGATTTTAACATTGTTGTTGTTATATTATGTTAAAAATTTCAGCTTATGTTTCTTAGTTCTTATTTAAGTTTTTTTTGAAGTCGATTTAGTGTTTGAGTTAAAGTCTTCTATTCCATATTTGAAATAGATTCGGCTTTTTTCGCTGTTTTATTATAAGATATTTGTTCCCTAGTTTTAAAACGTGATCATGTTTGCTGTATACAAAATCAAAATAAAATTAAATTTATGTTACATGTCAAGTATTCGCGTATTCTAAGAAAGTATATGTTTGTATATAATATATTTTTTATGTATTTCAGTAGAAAATCTCGAGCTCGCCCGCGCTCTAAATCTCAGCCAGCGTCCAACGAGTCGTCTGAGAACGGATCGCAGTTACGCAGAAATGCCTCGATAAAAACGCCTAAACAGAAACCGATGAAACAAAATACGCCCAAACAAGGACAAAAACAACCCCTAACCAAGAGTAACGTGGAGAAACTGACGCTTGAAAATCTCACTATTACGACCAATATTAATAATAAGTGAGTATTTTTTTCTTATGATTGTTTTTATAATATTTCTAGCCACTTACCTTCGCTTCGCTTCGGTTTCGTCCCTAGACAAAAACAAATTATCCCACGAGAACCGTACATTTTCCCGAGATAAAAAGCAACCTGTGTGCTATTCTACACTATAATCTATCTCTGTGCCAAATTTCATCTAGATCCGTTCAGCCGTTCTGGCGTGAAAGAGTAGCAAATATCCATCTATCCTCACAAACTTTCACATTTATAATATTACTATGCTAATAATGCATAGTATTATGTATAGCTTTTCCGAAAGAAATTATCTAAATCATAGTAAAAAAATGTATAAAAATCCGTTGCATATTTTAGAAGAATTAAGCGCACGAACAGACAGACATGAATAGTAACTTTGTTTTATACTAATTTGTTTTTAATATGAATAATTTGATCTAGTCAAGGTCCGCCTCAAAGGAAAGTGAACGCGGTGGCTCAGCAACGGCCGGTGCCCACTGAGCAGAGCAAGAGGAAGCCTACGCCTACACAGGTTCGATTATATTGTCCTTACAAAGATATACTTTCGGATTTATCCGCGATTTATCCCGTTACCATGATTGTTGTAAAACATTCGAAACGCTGGGAATTAAAAAAACTGGCCAAGTGCAAGTTGGACTCGCGCACGAAAGGTTCCGTTCCATTATCTATAAAGACGGCAAAAAATCATGTTTGTTGTGTGGGAGTCTCCCCTTAAATATTTGTTTTATTTTAATTTAATTATTTATTTTTAATGTGTATGTATGTAAAATATATAACTAAATATTCTGTGAATATTTCAAACGTCTACCTGTTGCCGTTATCAATATCGAGCTAAAACGATCAAAAAAATCACGTATGTTGTATGGGAGCCCCCTTAAATATTTATTTTATTCAGATTTTTAGTATTTGTTGTTATAAGCGGCAACAGAAATACATCATCTGTGAAAATTTCAACTATCTAACTATCACGGTTCATGAGATTACAGCCTGGTGATAGACAGACAGACGGACAGCAGTCTTAGTAATAGGGTCCCGTTTTACCCTTTGGGTACGGAACCCTAATCAAAATAAAAATCGATAAAATCCGAAGCAATAGTTTTATTTTGTTTAAAAATTCAAATATTCGCCTAAATCTAAGAATGTATTACAGCATTTAAATTGGTCTACAATTTTATTCGTAAGTATTGTGTAAATAGCATTATATTTGCATTTAATTTCTATAATTTAAAATATAATTTTATTTCTTAAAACAATGATTGTTTGTTGATATAATGTGTGCTGAGAGTTTGAGTAAGTGTTTATTTTATATTGCTTTTTAATAAAACGTACCAACATTTAATGGCTGGATCCCTTCACACACACAAAATTATCCGATTACACCTAAAAAGACTGTATAGGTTTTTTTGACAACTCAAACCCGAAGGAGTGGAAAACATTTTTAATTTTTTTGGTAATAGCTTTAAATCCGTTGTATTTAAACCAGTTGACATATATGATTCGATAAAACTCGTGTCTTCTTTTTCTTTTAATAAAATAAAAAATAATTTCAATTAAAAATTAATAAAAATTTAATTTTACACAGCATAATATAAAATATAGATAATAATAAAAATTTACAACATAATCGTATGTATAGTCCGTCTTATGCTTAACAGGCAACAAACCAGCAGACGCAGAATAACGCCCAAAAACAACAGAAACCGCAACAAACGCAACAACAAAACGCTAATGCTGGTACGTAGTTATGTTGTGTGGTTATACCTTTGGTTCTATTTTAAGGTAGTAATAGGTTCGATTACCGATAGGAATAAATGGGTTATATTGGGTCTAATATTAGATTGTCACAATGAATAGGCTATATTTCAATCATTCATTTTTGAGACAAAAAGTCACAGATAAGACTTAAATAATTACATCTAAAGCGATTTTGAAGTTGGTTAGGATTTTAGTTAATACATAATTAATAGATAGATACATCAAATCTTCTTCCATTTGTAAGAATAAATAATAAATTTAAAACAGAGAGTATCCAATTTAGCAGATATTTTTGTGAATGTTACTTGTCTATAATTGAATTTTAGGGTTATTTTTATAGGTCTGAAGTTATTTGTGTTAAAAATCATGTTTTTAATAAACGTGTCAAAAACTATAATTATGTAAATTTTATTTAAAATTAATTATATTTCAATGTATTCATAAATTAATTTCCAAATGTCAAGGTGCAGAGAACCGCGCTGTGAAACGATACAGTAGTCTTCGTCAGCGACCACTCGCAGAGGCGTACTCGCCGCAGCAACCGCAACCCGCGCAACCTCAAAATCAAAACCAGCAACCAAACCAAAACCAAAACCAGCAACAACAGAATCAGCAACCGAACCAGCAGCAACATAGATATCATGGTGGTATGTGGTATTTTTTTTAATATTCTAACTAGATTCATTATACCTGTTTAATCTAAGTATTTGAGAACCGTTGGAAAATCAAGAGGTGCAGGTTCAAACCCGGTCAAGGCATAATGATATTTACATTAGCAAACCTTTTTTGATATGAAAAACATTGTGAGGAAATCTGCATCTTTTTGCTTTTGTCCTCTGTATTTTTCTCTCTTAATTTGAATGATATAAATTGGCAATAATTTCGCCTTTTAAAAACTGATTTTAACCATCTGTTTTTTTTAACCATTTGTTTATAATTCAAGGGTAATTAATTATGTCCAAAACAAATTCCAAGAAAAAATTAACTAGCAATGTTTAAAAAATAATTATACAGAGATACCAAATGTTGTGCACTTTTTATTTATTTATTATTTATTTATTATTTTTAATGTTTCGTATACATTCCTAGAGTTCCCTACCGGGCAAGCCGCGCCGCTGCCGCCACAGCCCCACCAAGGCAGCCCTGGACCACAAATGCATCCACAACAAATTATACACCCTGTATGTATTGTTGTTGTAGTCGAAATATTTTATCTATACCCATATTTTATCTTTTCACTTAGTCATCTATACTTAATATTATAAATGTGATAATGTGTTTGTTGTTTGTTTGTATGTCCTTCTTTTACAGAGTGAAAGATTGGAGTGTTTTTTGTGTGGAGATAGTCGGAGGGCTGGAGAGTGACATAGGCTACTATTTACCGCGGGAGATTATCTAAATCTCACGGGAAAGCACATAATACCACCCACAACCTAACCTATTGAATATATAAATGAGCAAGTTAGGGTCTCCTATAAATGAAAGAGCACACAATATATTGTAATGCAAAGTTACCGTTTATGTTAATAAATGCAGTCTTTTATCTTTTGTTGGAGAACCCAAATAAAAAAAAATGCATAAGGTAGTATGTATATACGGTACTTTAAAAAAAAACAATTATTAATATTTTTCTCTATCTGTCTGTTTGTTACGGTTAATCTAAGAAACGGCTGGACCGATTTTGACGGTACTTTCGCTGGCAGATAGCTGATGTTAGAAGGAGTAATTAAGGCTAGTTTTATTTTAGAAAAATAATTATTTAATTAATATAATTTTATAACCGTCCAGCAGGTGCATAGAAACGCAGTGAGCCAGACGCCGCACGGGCCGTCGCCGCCGCACCAGCCGCTGCCGCAGCCGCCGCACACGCAACAGGTAACTAATTACTATATATGCTTTATCTGATTTATTTTGTTTTTTAGGGTTCCGTACCTCGAAAATAAAATGAGATAAGGAACGGAGGTATCAAATTCAAGGTAATTGTAAAAAAAGAAAAACGGCACCATCTTACAATTTTGAAAAAATAATAAATATTTCTAATTAGTGTTTCTGTAATTTTACATTTGAATTTATTATTTATATTTTGTTTTTTAAATTAATAAACGTTCTAATGTTACAGCAAGTGAGGCTGGGTATCTTGGAGCAACAGCAGATGGTCTCCCACCCGCACCACACTATACACAATATGCCGCCACAACCACACAATATTGGTAAGATATTTTTATATATTTATCCCATTTTTCATTTTTAATATTATAAATGCGGAAGTTTGGATAGATGTTTGTTTGTTACTCAATCACGTCACGGCTGAACGGATTCAGATAAAATTTTGCACAGAGATAGATTATAGTCTGGAATTGCACAGAGGTTATTTTATATCCCGAAAAAATGTATCGTTTCCGTCGGATAGATTTGTTTTTGTTATCCATTAGCGAAGAACGTGAGCGCAGTGAGGGTGAGTCTCTAGTTGTAAACATAATTAATTAAATGGTAATTGAAGAATAAAATGTAGTGTGTTTTAATATATATTTATTTTGTTTTAGGACAATTACAACCGTCACAAGGTTACGCACCGCCCGCCATGATGCCTGCGCAGTACATGCAGGTTAGTTAGTTACCTGTTTTTATTTTCCTTTGACATTGAAATTATTATAAAATTATTATGTTTAGCTATTTTAAATAAAACTGTCTTTTCGGATTTTTTCGCGGATTTACTTTGATTTTTGGTTCCCGACGTTTGACGTTCAATGGAAATATTCATTTTTTCATACATGCCTTGGAAAACTAGAGAAAAAAGCAAAGAAAAGAAAAGAAAGAAAAAAGAGGAAAATAAAGAATCTCTCCACCAATTTTGGAAAAATAGACCTGTAAAAATGATTTTATTTCGTGGAATGACCATATACATATGTATGTCTGTCCGTTACAGCAAGGAGGTACCGGCGGCGTGTTCAGCGCGGCGCCCATGTACCAGCCGCCGGCCGCCTACCCCCACCCGCAGCTGTACCCACATCATAATTATGTGAGTTCTTATATGAAATAAATAAATATTAATATGTTGGGACATTTAACACACAGCACCATCTAGTTCCATGGTAAGCTACGAGGCTTATGTTATGGATACCGGATAGTTATAAATATAAACACCTATGACTGGAGAATATTCGTGCTCATCACAGAAAAGGATGTTCCCAGCGGGAAAGAGAGAGTAAAGAAGAGGAAAGAGAGAAACCCTGTACAAGGGCAATTTTATAAAAAGTGTATTCATTTGCTAATGACCCACTGGGTACAACAAAAAATTAAATAAAAAGTTAAAGCTGTCAAGCTGTAAGTAGTTTGATAGTTGCTATAAAAATCAAAAGGCGCTTCAATACTTTTTGTTAATGCTTTTTTTTATTCTTATCTGAAGTTTCTAGATATTTATATAAAAGAAACAACGTTACGCGTTGTGAGTTGTTTTGTGTTTGCTTTATGAAAAATTCGAATGTTTTTCAAAAATTCTGCTTTAAATTGTTCGGTTTTTTTACTGAACGACATAAGTCTACCACCGTTTCGTAAAGAAGAAGACTCGGTTTTATAAAATCTTTTAATGTATTACCTAATACCTTTAGCACATAAACTTTCTTAAATTTTTTTTATTGAATCTGTGAATGGCATAGTATTTTTATTACTTCAATAAATGTGATTTATGTACACAGCAAGGTACACACGCCGGCGGTGTGACATACTACAGCTGTGCGGAGCAGGAGGCGGCGCAGCGGCCACAGCGACGCCCGACCGCCGCCATACCTATAGTGCGTCCCGCCCAAAACGCCCAGACCGCTCAAACCGCCCAATCCGCTCCGCCCGCCCAGCCGCCTCTGCCCGCCCAGGTGGCGTCGCCAGCGCAGACTGACAGGTATATGTTTTATGTTGAGTTGGACGTAGTTAAGCAAAATGAATCCACGACCCACGAAAACCGTTCTTTGAGTTACCGTCATAAATGGCACCTACATATCAACTTTACAGTTCATTTTTAATTTACTGAATACCTTTTGGGAATATACTATTTACATCATAACAACATCTATAAGAAGATAAAATATTTTTTAAATTTTTATATTCATACAAAAATAACAATATTTTTATTGCACTTTCTAAACGGTAATAGCATCTCGTCAAGTTTAAATGCTCGTAAACCCCTCCACTGTACCGAGAACGCGCTTTCTTTTGCTAATACTGGACTATTACCGATTAGAAGGTGCAATAAAAATATTTTTATTTTTGTATGAAAACAAAAATTTTCGGATATCTCATATATTGAAGGGAAGCCCATCTTAAGCAGTAGGGCGTTAAAATTAGAATATTTCTATTCTACATATAACATCGAGGCAGCGGTAGCACAGTGGTAACGCGCTCGCTTGGTAAACTGAGTGAAGTCCGAGTGAAGCGGGTTCAATTCCGGGTCTCGTTTCTAACATAATTACCACTTGCCTTACTGTGAAGGAAAAAATAGTGAGGAAACCTTTAACCTAGCAAGCTTTGAAAGACATGCTCGGTCCGCTTACACTTGGCCAGCGTGGTCTATATCCTGATCCTCCTCGTATTGAAGGGAGCCCAGCAGTGGGACGTTGAAACGTTACCTATATTTTTTTTTCAGACCGGCGAATTCTTCAGAGAAGGAACACATAGATAGGATTGTAGAAAACATGTTCGTGAGAAAACCTTGGCCGGCCACGCATGGTGCTGGTGGGTCATTCATCTATTTAACCTATATCTCTTAATATATAAATATTTCGTGTCACGGTGTTTGTGGTCGCACTCCTTCGAAACGGCTCGACCGATTTTAATGAGTTTTTTATCTATATTTGGTAGATATGAGAATAGGTCGTAAAGTATTTTTCTCCTACCCATTTTTTAATCGCGATTTTAGTATTTTGTATGAACAATATTATGTATATAAATACATACCGAGCGAAGCGATGGTGAGCCCCTGGTCTATTTATAAATTCCATAATTCCATTAAATTGTTTTAAAGTGAAATTAACACATATTATAAGATTTTTCGGTGTTATTTTTTTTTTATTTCAAATTACTGCATAATTATATATTAATTATATATTGCATAATATTATGTAAGAGGTACATAATAATAGTCTCTCGATGACTCCCGTGACCGTGATTGTTGTAAAGCATTTGAAAAGTCGGCAACAAAAATATACTACGAATAAATAAAATTGAAAAGCTTTTTTCTAAATGCATATGAAATTATATATGTTAAGTACTTTTAAGAAAAACACAATTTAAAAAAACACTGTTTGTCAGTCTGTTCCGGCTATGCTCCGAAACGGCTAGACTGAATTTGCCGATTTTTCGCTGGCAAATAGCCGATGTTATAAGTAGTAACTTAGCTACTTTTATTTAGAAAAAAATTTGAGTTCTGTTCAAAAAAATTAAAATGTTCCTATTACAAGTTTTTTCCTACTACAGGTCGCTAGTTTTACTTTAAAGGTCAAATTTTCGCGTAAATCTAAGAAAGTAAATTATTTACACTTGAACTTATTACAATTTTGTTGGAACTATAGAATCACTATGGATGAAGCTTTCTCTAATGGCGTGGATCAAATCGCAGTGCGAAAAATATGACTTAGATAAGACTTATTGAGAGAGGAAGATGTTTTTAAAACGGGAAGAAACAGTTTTAAGTTTAATTTTAGTTTTTAAAAGTTAGTATTTTTTGTTGATTTAAGTAAAATTGTAGTGTTTTTAGTGTATATACAATTTTATTCATAATTTTTTTCATTGGTAACTTTATAGTTTCTCATTATTTTAGTTGTAGTACAAAGCGTTGATGATATGGTAGTAATATGGTAGATATTAAAAAATCGTTTGAGAGTATTTAAGAATAATTATTTTAGTGAAAAATTTCAAAGTTATTTGATCTATTAAATATCTTGTATATATTGTAATTTACTATTGTAATTTGTAGGGTGTCATTCAATAAGCGTTCTTCAAACGGGATCCCCCCATTTAATTCTTAAAAGGCTTATTTAAGTTCACTGTTTTATTACGAAAGTGCTTTAAAATATTTTTGTTTATTTTAATAAGTATTTACTCTGATAATAAACACATTAATCTCATTTTTAATATTATAAATGCGAAAGTTTGGATGGATGGATGTTTGTTACTCTATCATGCCAAAACGGCTGAACGGCTCTGTATGAAATTTGGCACAGAGATAGATTATAGTCTTGAATAGCACATAGGTTACTTTTTATCCCGTAAAAATGTACGGTAGTGGATAAACGATTTATAGTGTAGTTACATGTGGATACGATGTGTTAAGAGTTTTTTTTAAATTCTAAGGCAACGTTATCAGTTCAGAACTAAAATTTTATAATATTGAATGAAATTTTATAAAATCGCATTTATTTATTAGATCCTTTATATTAGAGCCTTTTTCCAGCTGCTTTCATATTGACAATGTCATACAGCGCCATCTCGTAAATGTTCGTGATACTTTCGTTATCGCCAATGGATGATAACCTACTGAGCGAACGCCTACAAACGAAGCTGGTCTTCCAGGCACTATTATTGATAATGATCTTATATTTTTCTCAGAAAAAGAGAAAGATTTTATATATATTTCCACTAAGACAGTAAATTTTTTAATTGTAAATCTTTTTTTCTGTCTCACAATATAGATTCGTCAAAAGATAAACCCGAAACGCGTAACTCGCAAGAACCGCAAAGCAAAGAGCCGTCTCAGCCCAACAGTCTCACATCCAGCTCGATATCTATCGATTCGAAAACTGAGAAAACAGAGAAACCGGAGAAACAAGAGAAACAGGAGTGTGAGAAGGCGGAGAGCACAGAGAGAACGGAGAGCGAAGACGCCTGACCGGTAATATATGTGTACAGGATATAGTTGTTTTAGTGCCGTGCGAGTTTTTGTAACCTCTTTTTTGTACTATTGACTATATTGTGTAAACGTTTGTAAGAGATCGTTAGTGTACTCAGTTTTGTTGAGAATTCCTTGGAGATTAGATTTTAATTTTTTAATTTATGGATGATGATCTATGATCTATATAAACAAACTTAAAATTATTTTGGCTGCGTTTTTCTTCAGTTTTTTGTCGGGTGTGTTTTGGATTTTTTTTGTTATCCAAATTTAATATGAGCCTAATGGGACTCAATTTAAACGTCGCATTTATCGAAATTAAATATTAGTCTTTGTATTGATGTTGAATTAATTTTTTTTTTACTTTTTTTTAGTCATTAAAAATCGATTTGTCATACACATATCTCTTCTCGTTTTGAGATCGAACCTGCTACCTCAGACGTAATAAGCGAGTTATTGCTACATTTCAAGTGGTATACCGATATATATGTAGGAATAAAAAAGTCACTAGTACACTAAAACATGTATTCAACTCGCACGGCTCGAAGTTGGATCTTATATGATGTTAATAGGTTATTTTACTAAAGTGTGTCGAAAATTAAAATGAATAAAATTATGACGCATTTTTTATTATCTATGGTTTCTTAACAGATTAACTGTCCGCAAAATAGACAATAGTTAAACAATTGAAGTGTTTATATATGACTCATGGGGCAGGGAAACGGCTAAAATGTCATTTAAATTGATTTAAAAAGTGTGAGCGTGACAAAGCGATATTGCGTCCAGATGTTGTCTCTTTCTAGAATTTTATTGAATTCCAAATGCAGAATCAATTAGATCAGGAATACACAAATTATTTAAAAAAATATTATACAATTTTTTTTCGGATTTATTTGTAAAATTTCCAGAATAAATAAATAAAATGATTAAAACTTTAGATCCATAGAAAGCATATTCATCGCATATTCGTTTTGTATCCAAGAGTCATCAATATTTTGAGAATAATGCTCAGTCTCTTTCGTTGCTATGGGTGTTTAATGGAGTCTAAAATAAAGGGTTTCAAATGTGGCACTCTAGTAATATCTAAGTTTATATTGCCATAGATTTTGTTATACATTAAATGTGGGTTGATCTAAAATGGCGGCGGTTTATAAACCATGATGACGTCAGCTCGTCATAAATTACATTTAAAGGCTACATCCATTAAATTGAAAATAAATAGCTATTAATCATTTAGCCATTTTGTTAGGTAGCATCGTTTTTGAAACTCGAATGAAATAATTATCTACGTTTTAATTTAGAATAAACTGTAAAAAATAAAAAATAGCGGTCTCTGTAAAAATGTCTATACAATAATGAAAAATGTAACAGTACATAATATATAAAAATGATTGTCTACGATGAAAACATCTTTCAAATCTAAAAATATTACTTAGCAGTATAAAAATATTTCGATATTCAAAAAGTCTTTTCAATGAAAATCGGTTAAATCTAAAGTGGGGTATAGATTCAAGTATATAGAAGTGACAAAATTAAATAAAGTATGGATTAGTGTGAGTGTCTAATAGAATTCTAATAACTATTTGGCTGTGTCAGCTCTAATAGAGTTGTATGTTATATCTAGTATTTTGGGGTGTTCAAGTATTAAGAAAATTCATGAAAGCGTAAAATATGTTTATACTTATATATATACATATAATATGTTACAATAACTTGTGTCTTATGTCTGCCTTTGTGTAAGATGTAAACTTACTTTAAGCTACGATCTAAGCAATAGAGTGTATTTTATTTATTATGAAATTTCTGTGTACAAATATATAAAATTTCTGCTTATAAAAAAATGATATAAAAGCGTTCTAACAAGGAAAAACGGGACGTTAAAGATTACAGAAAAAGTATATTGGAATTATTAAATAAGATTTTTTTACTTATTTTTCTATTATGTCGGAGTTATAAATCCATCACTACTCACTATCGCTTTATTCACTAATTGAGCAAGAGTATAAAAAAGTATTACGTTAACGTTTTAATACATGAACGCCCCCATTTTAATCTGTATCTGTAAATTAGTTTAATAATTAAAAGAAAAAAGAAAAAATTTGGGCTTGGCCTGGGGATTTTTTTTTAAATTTTTGGCTAAAACATCTAAACTTATGTATAGATACAGGCTTAAAAATAACTCATATCTTAATAAAGTAAGAAATTTAAACGAACGTGGCCAAATATTTTCATATAAATTTGGTCAACAATAACTAGATTTCGATCTTTTTCTATTTTTGTAATAATTGGATAGTGTTAGTAAAATAACATTTTCAAAGAAACTCCTAAATCATTTAAGTAACGTTTTTTTGCTCAAGCGGTTCTTGGTTCTTTTAAAGAATGTGGTCATCAACCTACAGTGAAGGAATATCGACATATTTATATTTTATGTTATTTACTTTAATTGTTGCCAACTTAAAAATATATGTCGTTTATTTGCTTACTTTATGTCTTATTTAGTTATTAGACTGTATAGTGATATACTTTGGTCATACATCGTATAAGAAAAAAATACAGCTTTCAGCAAAATTTTTCTACAGATAAAAAATATTGGCAGTAATCTTGTGAATGAAAATAAAAAAAATATGAATTTGTAAATTCAACTTATTTTATTATATACAATTTTCTCCTTTCAATTGCAAAACGTTAATAAAGCGTTGTCTCTTTCTTTTTTTCATATAGATTACTCATACGTATGAAAGAGACAACACTATTTTACGGAAATCCTATTCACGGAATTGATACACAGAATCTTGGACCATGGTCTTTTCATGAAAAGAAAGAAATCGATTTTATTTTATTGTTTTTGTTTTGTTTATTTTTCTGCTTATTCGTTTGATAATTTGTAATAAATACGGTTTTATATATTGAAAGAAATGTTTTGCTTTTATTTGCTGTCATCATACCTGATACGTAAATAAATTTATGCAATGTCATCGAACTAGCAACACCGTTCATTCGTATTTTTTTTGTACTTACTTTCAATTTTGACGTTTGGTGATTTTTTAATTTGAAATTACAAAATTATATCTGAAAAAATGAATAAGCAATAAATATAAACTTTGACTATTGATGTTTTTTTTTTAAATAATGTTTGTACCCTACATAATAAATATCAAGAATAAAATTAAAACAAAAATTCTGTATTTTTATGATATTATTGTTCATTAAAATATTATTTTTGGTTTTAATTTTTGAAGGTTTATATTTTTAAGTTAACCGACTGCTTTGGATTTTTGTTCAAAGTTTTATATATTCTACAATCGCCCTAAGCTCTTTTTAAAAACAAATAAAAAAAAACTCAAACGTCTAATACTCTATGGTGTTGATAGTTCATGACTTAATTTTTACGTGTCCGTAATACTTCCACAATATAATAATATAAACTATATTTAATAATAATATAATTTAATAAAGTATAGAAAATTATGTTTTAACAAATGCTGTTTTTGACTAGTCCTTATGTAAGACACACGTCTGCTTTTTTTTTAATTGACTGTTTTCACAACTGGCAATAAGTTGTCACGGATCTAGTATAAAGATATTTTCTAAAAAAGGTGAAAATTATAAAAAAAATGCTTTTTGTAAACTAGGCTGGTTATTTATTAAAATAAGTAAATCTTCTAAATTCATGTTTGTTTTATTTTTTTTATTCCCTTTTTCCATAGTAATCTATACATATAATAATTTGTGTCGGATCTGTACATTGAATATTTTGTGGAAAATGTTATTGAAATAGTCATTATTATCGATAAAGAGGCCAAATCCAGTTTTTAGAATTTTTGTCTGCCTGTCTGGGAATACATCACGAGAAAACCACTGGACAGATTTTGATGATGATATCTGTTTATCCCGATCAACATATATTATACTTTTTATTGCGGGAAAATATCTAATTTCTCAGAAATCGATACTAAACGTTAAAAGGTAACTAGGGATGTACCCAAGCGAAGTGAGGGTAAGTCGCTAGTATTATAATAAAATGAAGTAAAGGAAATGGGTTTCAATGCTGCATTATCACAGTATAAATGGAAAAGTTTGTATGTGTGTGCATGTTTGTTAACAAAGGAAAAACGAGAATACGGTTAGGGCATCTAGGGAGAAACCCAAAAGAAATGAGGCTTATAGTATATTCCGAGGGGTTCCAGATTTTAAATTCCAGTTAGTAGTAGTTCCAGATTTTGTAAAGTATTTACGATATGTACTTATAAGAAAAGATACTTAAGAATTTTTAAGATTTTTGTTTGTGTGTCTGTTTGTTCCGGCTAATCTCCGATACGGCTGGCCTGATTGGGACGGAACTTTAACTGGCAGATAGCTAATCTCATAACGAGTAACTTAGGCTACTTTTATTTTAATAAAAGGATTAGGGTACTGCGCAGATAGATTAAAACCAAAGAAATTATATACAAAAATCCACGTACTTAACCTACGCACCCAAACAAAACTATTCGGTAGTATTCTAATAAACAGCGCCATCTTTTAAAGAATTTTGTTGCCAACAGTACCGTACGTGGAGGTTTAATCCTTGTTACGTCATTTGGGTTTATATAAAATAAAAAAAAAATAAAAATTGAGTTCTTTTGTTTTAATATCACAATTCAGATTAAAGAAAATCTATTAGCTACCGTAAAAGAAGTATTTACACTTAAAATACCTTATTATTAATAATTAATTGTATTAATTACAAAATGATCTATTTACTTACAGCTAAATGATTTGTCAACACTTGAGTACATTTTACTTATAGGTAATAAGCAACGTCATATGTAATTAATATCATATTATCTAACTTAGACATGCATAAAATTTATATTGAAATAATGACGTTAATTGTTAAGGAAATCGGTGCCTGTATTTACTTTAAAAGTAGTCTTGTGATTATTAACTAAACTTATAAACAAATGACCGAATGCATATAAAAAATAATAAAAGAGTACCTACATAATATAAGTTTTAGCTTAAATTATGAGCTTTTATTTGACATCCATTTTGTTATAGAAATTAAAAAAAAATTGTTGTAAGTGTTATAGCACCTCTTTTCTAATTCTCAGACGCTTATACTTAAATAACATGTAACGACTAATGAGTACTTAACATATGTAAATATTTTTAGACTAAAATCTAGATAGTACCTGCATATTACACGATAGAAATAGATTTAATAAACTAGATAAAAGCTTCATTTGTTTTGTAAATTTCATTTTTCTTAACATATTATTCTTATAATATTACGTATTACTAGTATTTGGATGTGTTTTCTGAATTAGACGATTTTAGACTTTAGTGAGACACGTACATTTCACGATGTTTCACATCACAATTCAATTCATAACTATATCTATATAGGAATTATACATGATTTGTCTCAACAACGCTTTCGTTCATCTTTTTCTTCTTTCCCGTTAGGTCAGCGTATATATCGTCTAGATTTCGCATTTTGGTTTCTGGCACACAAAATATTAGAAAGAATACGTTTATAAGGCAAATGGCGCTGAAAATCCAAAATGTGGAGTAGTATCCAATCCAGGCGTTGAGAGGAGCAAAGAGTTTTAGAAGAGCGAAGTCAGTACCCAGAGAAATGGCTATGATTAGTGTTGCAACTGTGCCTCGGAGCTGAAAAGAAAAATTGATTATAATCTAATATATAAATATCTCGTGTAACACTTTGTGATCAAAGGGCTCGACCGATTTTTATGTTTTTTTTTGTATATTTGGTAGATATGAGAATAGGTCGTGAAGTATTTTTCAACCTCCTACCCCCACCCCCTTTGCTATAATCGCGGTTTTAGTATTTTTGTATGAACAATATTATATAAATACATAGGTAGTACATAGCGGCAAACCCGAGCGAAGCGAGTGTGAGTCGCTGTATAACATAAAGCCAAAGAGTTTTTTGTGTAGATCGACGCACGGGTTCTGCAAGTAGGGATTGTATATAAAAAAGAAAAAGTGGACTCGACAGGTGCTTTTTCGTTTTTCCGGGAAAATAAAAAAATATCGTATACATACATATATTTATATTTTAAAGTTTATTTATTAAATATGAATTATGAAAATTGAATTGTACAAGCCTTTACTGTAAAAATAACTACATATGTTCTATGTTCAATTTCATTTTTTATGAATAAAGTTATTATTATTAAAATCGGTCGACACGATTCCGAAATGAGAGCTTCATCTTTTAAATCGATCAATAAGCGGGTACAAAGAAAAAAGATATCGACAAGTTTTTTGGGCTTTGATAACGTGCCATTAATCCCAAATGGCACTCCTAGGAGCCACTGAATAAAATAATTGCATGGAATCTTGCACTTAATCAAATGAGTCCTATATATGTACATATGAAGGTGGGCTATTTTAAGTTTGCAGATAGACACTTCTATTTTATTTATGAGTATAAATTGTAGGTAGGTAAGCATAAAAAGCGTATTTTTAATTACCTACCGTTTGAACGAAACAAATTTTTTTTTAATAAAGTACCTACATAGCCTGTTTTTAATTCTATCTTTATAAAAATACTAGCGGCTCACCTTCGCTTTGCTCGGGACTAGAAAAACAAAAATAAATCTATCCTACGGGAACCGTACATTTTTCCGGAATAAAAAGTAGCCTATATTCTATTCCAGACTATAATATATCTCTGTGCCAAATTTCATCCACATCCGTTCAGCCGTTCTGGCGTGAAAGAGCAACAAACATACATCCAAACATCCATTTAAACTTTCACATTTATAATATTAGTAAGATATTTAAAATATTACATTTTATAAAGAAAATATTTATAAGATGATTGATTTATTCCTTTTATAATAAAATCTTAATTAAATATTGTATCTATGTTGTTTTTCTCCACAGATTAAATAAATAAGTGGTGAAATTAATACACATAATAATAATAAAACGTAATGAGAATAACCCAAATATTTATGCGTTAAGAGAGAGCTTTGTTCCTGTTTTGAGCATAATGCTTGAACGGAGTGTGACTTAATTAAAGTTTATATATAGGAGAACAACTGCAGAAATGTAAAATTAATTGATTCCATTTTGCTTGCGCCTCCGCTCGCGTAGTTCATTTATGTATATAATTATTTAGTAGGTATATAATTATATAGAAGCGTTTCTAATTAATTAATATATATATATATATATATATATATATATATATATATATATATATATATATATATATATATATATACATATCTAAGAGCTAAAGAGTTTGTTTGTTTTAACGTACTAACCTCTAGAACCACGGGTCGATTCAAATAAACCTTTATAATGACAGTTAGCTTCTGTGTAGCTTTGACAAAAAGAACTCAATAAATCATTTAAACTATGACCCTTGTAATAATAAAAAAGGTAATAAGCAGTAGTAATTCAGAGGTAACGCGCTCGCTTGGCAAACCGAGTGAAACGGGTTCAAATCCCGGTTCACGCACCTCTGATATTTTCATGTGCGCATCATTTCCAACATGTTTACCACTCTCTGTCTTACTAACTTGCATGTCTGAGAGAACATAGCAAGTTTTCGAAAGTCATGTGGAGTCCATCAAGCCGCACTTGGCTAGCGTGGTGGATTATGGCCTGATCCCCTTCGCATTCAAGAGAGGCCCGTGCCGAGACGTTAAAAATGGCTGTATACAATAGTAAAAATCTTTTAACATTTTAAATAAAACTATCTTTTCGGATTTTTTCGCGGATTTATATTGATTTTTGGTTCCCTAACCCTGATTGGTTTTGGGAAAAGATAGTTCTGTTTTAATTTTATTGATATAAAAATCCGAAAGATAGTTTTATTTAAAATTTCAAATATTCGCGTAAATCTAATAAAATCTTTTAACATATAATAAATTACCTGGAAGCTAAACATTTCAGTCATAATGACAAAAGGTAGCGGCTGTAAACCAGTTGCATCAGCGAATATACAGACGCAGAGTGCAATGATCGGCACCCACCCGGGCATGAAGACGCCAATACTTAGGAGATAGAACCATACTCCCAACAAACACATACTGAGACCAGCAACTACACTCGTTACTGCTAGCAGAGGCTGGAAAGTAAAATTGGTGTTTCATTAGATACCATATCTTTAAAAGAAGTCAAAGTTAGTCTCAAGTTAGTTATGTCGGGTAACTTTGAACATTTTTAGGGTTCCGGACCTCAAAAGGTGAAAGAGGAACCCTTATAAGATCACTATCTTGTCCGTCTGTCCGTCTGTCTGTCCGTGTGTCACCACCGATTTTCTCAGGAACGGGTGGACCTAGCAAGTTGAAATTTATACCAGATACTGAGGTCTTACAGCACAAATAAAGAAAAAAATTCAAAAAATAAAAAAAGTTGAAAATTAAAGTCAAACAGATTTCCTACAAATTTGTACGGAACCCTCGGTGGGCAAGTCCGACTCCGGCAATTGTCCGTAATTTTTGTCACTTCAATTAGTATATTATTTAAGATTTATTTTTTAAACACATTGTTGGCCGGCACTCTGATATGTATAATATTTAATTATATTTGGCCGAAAGAAGCTATAGTAGGTAATTCTTTTTTTCTTCAGTTCATTTTACGTAGACCAATTCAGTGGGTATTATAATATATACAATTTTGATAGATATATAATAATTTAATAAATACACTGTTACTGTGTTAGGTACTGTACCTTGATAAGGTTTTACCAGTAACAAACCATCGTAAGGGCTAATATTTTTTATACCAATTATTACAATACTAACCTTTCTGCCCGTTCTATCGACTAGCTGACACGCCAAAAACGACCCAATAATCTGAACGATAGCTAAGAAAATCGATTGTTTATTGGGCGACAAAGCGATGCTGGTCCCGGGATCCTTTCCCGCTTCAGCAAAGATATGGCTTGCATATACTAGTACTGCGATACAGCCGCAGAATTCACGCGTCAGGGTCACAGTGAGCGCTATCCAGAAGGCTTTAGCGGTGATTTTGTTAGCAACTGCGGAAGAAAGATTAGATTTAATTATTTTTATTACTATATTTTATTACAAGCAATGCCCGCGGCTTCGCCCGCGTTCAGATGACCAAAAACCAAATTCTTAGGTTTTACATATTAGTATACTCTTACATTGCAGTTTTTGTATTTTTCTCAGAAATGAGATATTTTTCCACGGTAAAAAGTATCCTATATGTTGACCCGGATAACCAGCTATCACCATACCAAATTTCATCCAAATCTCTCTAGACAGACAGACAAAAATTCTAAATACTATAGATTCGGCCTCTGTATCGTTAATAATGATTATTTTAATAAGATTTTCCGAAAAATTATTAATGTACAGATTCGGCTTAGTTACAATTTTATTATATGTATAGATTATAATTATAACAGTAATTTAATAATGTTAGGATTTGAATAGTTATTTAGGCATTAGAACTGTATTAACATTTAACAGTCGTACGAGCAAAATATAACGTAGCTCTATATGTATGTATAAAATGACGTGGATCGATACATTTATGGATACCATTACACTGTTATCCCCAATCCCCATAGACCAGACAAACTTTCCTAAGGTATATTTATATAACTCACATAACAACAATATGCACCCTAAGCCGGTCCTGAAGCGGGACTCAAACCTGTGATCTCCGTTGTAGAGACACAACCCCAGAGTCTAAATAAAGCAAGAAATAAATTAAGAAAACTTTTTCTCAATCATTCTATCCAGCGCTGACGCATATGCCCCACCAATTGACCTCAAAACCGCGTTTGACACCAAACAAATAGAAGAACCCAATTAAATAGGGAATTGAAAATGACGAGCTCAAATATCAAGGACTTCGGAAGAGGTCACCGCCAATTGAAACAATAAATATGTTTTGAAAATAATTTTTATTTACATTCGCATCCAATAACTGGGGCGAGAATATTTGCAGGAGATTGGCGGTGCTGAAATATAGGGCATGTCGACATTTTCCTTCAGTTTGAGAATAACTTTGGCGTGTTATTATTGAACAAATAGGTTGCATATAAAAAAATGAAATGTAATTTTTTTTTACCTTATTGTGTTTTTTTATTAATTCAATCCCTAACGGTGAAATTCTTACTTTTAAAATAATTTTGAAGTATAGCCGTTTAGTACATAATAACCCTACTAAAAATATTTACATAAAAGTGCGTACAATGTTCTTAAGTAATTTAAATTAAGCCTGTTAAGGAGTCACTGGACGCATTTTCATAAATTAATTGAATCTGAGTTTGGTGACTGGTGTACACATTAATATACGTAAGTATATTTTATTCATGTCTTTTAGAATACTATTTTATTATATTTAGTACTAGCGACTCACCCTCGCTCCGCTCGGGTTCGTCCCTACTTATGTTTTAATCCCTCCACGACCACGGACTCGCCGGCGTTACAGTTAACAATAGATTTGTTAGAAATTTAATTAATTTCTTAGAAATTACCTGGAGGTGTTAATATTTAGTACTTATAGATTTCTCTAATTTTTCTCGCATTAAAAAGTATCCTATATGTTGACATGGATAACCAGCTAATCATCATATCAAATTTAATCAAAATCCTTCTAGTGGGTTTTCCGTGATTCGGTCACAGACAGACGGACAGACAAAAATACTGAAATCTTAAGATTCGGCCTCTGCACCGATAATAATGCCTATTTCAAGAAGATTTTCCAAAAATAATTTAAAATACAGAGTTGGCTTAGTTACAATTTTATTATATGTATAGTTAGATAATGGACCTAATATTTGTAGATAATTTTATATATCTATAGTGTAGGAGTTCAGTTCAGAAGGTCAATGATAAGACGCTCGCTTCAAAAGTCACGTGATGTGGGTTAAAATCACGGATCCAACACCTCTAATATTTTCATGTACGAATCATTTTCAACGTGATTGATGATTTAACTCGACGAAATTGTTAAGTCTGCCATCTGGCCAGCGTGGTGGGTGTAGACTACTGCAAGTCACATTGATGGATAGCAAGGATAAGTTGTTAGAAATATTACATACATAGGATTAGAGTTTGCAAAAATTTTTACTGGCAATTTTCCTTCGGAATTCTTTTGGGGTGGTCACTGGCAGTCTAACTTTAGGTTCCCGGGGTACCAGACCCGTTGCGTCATCCGCCCTCTTGATGGCGGATGACGCAACGGGTCTGGTCAACAAAAATCAACTCTAAATTCAAGAATTTAGAGTTGATTTTTGTTTATTGAATAACTCGTTTATTATCAATTTTACACGATAATCCTAGGAAAAAATTGATGAGAACCAAAATTGTAGGAAATTTCAAACAACTTTTGTAATAACTATTTTTCATGTAAAATTTAACATAAACTGCCAGTGATCCTCCCAAAGAATTCCGAAGGAAAATTGCCTGTAAACATTTTTGCATTATTGGCCCCTTTTTTGAGCTAATTCGACTGGGCTAACAGATACCGCCATCTTTCGACAAATTTTACTTCTAAAAGTTGCCTGTATGCCATTTGTTACTCCAGGTCATATAGGGCTGAATCGAGGGCATCCTGATTTAGGAGAGGTTGGCCCGCGCGGTTCGGGCCGTCCGCAGGGGTGTTGTAGTGTGTGCGCAAGCTATCCTACAACGCCCTATTGCACTGCGGTGAAGTGTTCTGCTGTGGGTTTCAGTGAGTAGGAGTCTCACAGTACTTTGCCCGTTATGACGGCGGGCAGGGTTCCCATGATGGGTTTTCCCAGCGACAACAAAAAAAAAAGATCATATAGGGCTGAATACACAATTTCATTTAAAACCGTCCGGCCGTTATATAAACTTTCGCACTTATAACACTTAATAGTGTACCTACTGAAATATAAGTAGTTTGCTTGCATCAATCAAAAAGTACACAATATATACAATCAGCGACAAACAATGTTCTCACCGAATAAGCGCTCATTTGAACATGTGAGCGCGCTTTTAATATGTTTTTATGAAAACAACTTTAAGTTTTGCATTTAAGGTTGAATTTAAATTGTTGTATATTTATTTCAACTAGAATAATAACGACCTAAACACAATTGGTGACAATTGGAAAATAAATTGAAATTAGTGTAAATGAGTTTTGAATAATTATTGCGTTTTAGGCTATATATGTAGGTACTGGACTAAGTATATAAGAAAAAAGATTATATAAGTATAAAAAATCAAGCAACTAACACTTATTGAGAGTCTATGGAAGCATCACATTCTGTTTAAGTGAGAAAGAGGTATAATACTGCAGTATACGCTTCGCACTGTGTATATTGCTACTGCTACGGCCTGATCCACCTCGTATTGAAGGGAGGTACGTGCCCAGCAGTGGGACGTTAAAAAGAGCTGAATACATGTGTATATTGACACATTTTTTTGTAGTACAAACTACTTACTTATAAGTAAATAACATGACTGAAAAAAAGGCACAGTAGATGACTTTTTTTTTTCTTAGCTTATTAAATTAATTTTCAATGTATCAAGAATTCGTGGCAATAAATTGCAACTGTGAAGATTATGATTAGATGATAGTTAATAAAAACCTAAGGCAGTAGTAGCCCAGTGGTAGCGCGCTCGCTTGGGAAACCGAGTGAAGCGGGGTCAAATCCCGAGACTCGCACCTCTGATATTTTCATGTGCAAACAATTTCTAACATGATTACCTCTTGTCTTACGGTGAAGGGAAACATCGTGAGGAAATCTGCATGTCTGAGAGAACCTAGCAAGTTTTCGAAAGACATGTGAAGTCCGCCAACCCACACTTGGCCAGCGTGGTGGACTATGGCCTGATTCCCCTCGTATTGAAGGGAGGTCCGTGCCCAGCAGTGGGACGTTAAAAAGGGCTGAATACATATTAAATACTACTTACATAATAGCTTAGGTGAAAACTTCGGTTCACTAGTGGTTTGCTCTATTATTAGTCGGTCCATTTCTTCGCTGATCAACTTGTCCGTGGGTGGTAGGGATCGCAACCATCCTAGTACTTTAGCTGTTTCCTGAAGCAAAACCATTGTGGTTTTATATTATCAATGAGTATATGAAAATTTATACTTATATAGTTGTTAAGGATTGTAGTTGAATATTATCTTTTGATTTGACTTATCTATAGAAATAAACAAAATTGAAGTGTCTGTCAAGTGTTGAATTGTAATGTCAAAATAACAGCTTTTTACTAAATGCATAATATGAAAGTATGTATGTATATTATGGTCTAACAATAAAAATCAAATTTAAACATTTTTTGTCTGTCTATCTGTCAGTCTGTTTGTTTCGGCTAATCTCCGTCATTGTGCAACTGTTTGGGGGTTTCTAACATTCTGGACAGAAATATATTTATTAAAACCGAATGGTCATAAGCCATCTGCATAGAGCCTTATCTAACGTACATAATATGTACATTATTGAAATACATGAACATAAAAGTAGGTAACCTAAGTTACTCTTTATAACTTCAGCTATCTGCCAGTGAAAGTCCCGTCAAAATCAGACCAGCCGTTCCGGAGACTAGCAGAACAAACAGACAGACTAACAGACAGGCAGACACGTAGACACGTGAAGTTATAAAAATGTGTTTTCTTTAGAAGTACTGTATATAATTTCATAAGCATTGAGTAAAAAGCTTTTATTTTGATATTACAAACAGACACTTCAATTTTATAAATCACATCACTAGGTACAAATTGTTGAGCGATAACTCATAATTTCCATCACTTTGTAATAAACGTAATAACATTTATAATCATTCATACAATTAGACAAAATCGCACAAAGTTGTAAAAAATCTGGCAAGTGCGAGTCTCTCTCGCTCATGGAGGGCTCCGTAGTAATCAACATTAAAATGTTACATTTTAATATACATATTTTTTTACATAAAACAGAAAAATATAATATTCACCTATTTAAAATATTCATTTCATCGATTGCACAAATTAAATAATGCAGTGAAAAACACAGTTATTTTTGGGCCGAATACATACATGGTAGTAAAAATATCTCGAAATAAACTTCAAAATAATTAAAATGTTAGTAAATAGTATAATACCTATAGCATTAAAAATGCTGTGATATACGGAGAGACGGACGGATGAACATGACAAAATTATAAGGGTTACGTTTATGCTGTTAGGATATGGATCCCTAAAAAGTGGATTACCTTTTTTGTTATTTGGTTATAGCTTTTCCCCAGCAGGCTTAAAATTACCCCCTTGTCCAACGCATAGAACAAAGTGCTAGATTGGAAGTATGAACATATTTCCCATTATGGATAGATGAATGATGAAGGATGATCACTAGGATATATTTTTTTTTGATGTTCTTGAAGTTTTTGATCTGTTTCTAGCCCAAAAAAAACATCCCTACAAATTGGACGGTCGTTATTGTATAATGGTCACGGCAGCCAATCTCATTGAGACTAGCCATCTGCGCAATAGAAATTATAGGGCACAAGTGCACCCTCTATTTCTATAACTTTTATACTTCGTTGGGACGACTTCTCGACACGATCAGTAAGACTTAAGGCGCAGCGCCGACGGCATTACGTGCTTTCCGAGGCCCGAGTGTGAAACACCGCCAACTTCTCAACTCCGGGCTATTACTGAGGCTTACTAAACAGAAAGCCTTAATAACTAAACTTGACCCGACCCGGGACTTGAACACAGGACCTACGGATGTGCAGCCGTACATATTAGCCACTACACCACCGAGTATATAATACATAGCTATATCAATGAGTTATTTACCTCATTCTTTCCACATTTCATTAAATAAGATGGCGTTTCGGGCAACTTCAGTAAGACGCAGAAGTGGATTAACGGTATCGCCAAGAGGATCCAGAGCACCGTGTGGTACGGGAGGAGATCACCAAGAACGAACACAAAAAGGTTACCTGCAGTCTGTAGACAAATAAATTGTTTGTTATTGACCAACTTCAAAAAAAAGGGAGGCTATAGTTGGGTGCATGTTCTATTTGTATATATTAAGATTAATAGAAAAATAGAATTAAAATCTATACAGATAAATGAAATTGAAGTTTCTGTTTGTAATGTAAAATAACAACTTTTTACTAAATGCATATAAAAGTATATAAAGTACATATAAGAAAAACACAATTTTTGAATTTTTTGTCTGTCTGTCTGTTTATTCCGGCTAATTTCCAAAACGGTTGGACTGATTTTGACGGGACTTTTGATGGCATATAGCTGATGTTATAAGGAGTAGCTTAGGCTACTTTTATTTTAGAAAAAGAATAAGGATTCCGCACAAAAATATTCTCATGCACCCGAGCGAATAAAAGATTGGATAAGTACTTATTGAATAAGGTTAAACTTCGGAGACGACACGTGCAAGTTTACGCTTGATTTCTTCTACATAATAAAGCGTTCTATGAAGTTCGAGTAATATATAGAAGAATTATTTTAACAGAAGATTGATTTTCCTCATGGGAAGTTTTTGTTTATGAATAAACAATGAATATTTTCAGCGGTTCGTTTTAGGCTACTTTGTTTTCTTGAATTATTTAAAAAATCTGTAAATATGTGGGACAGTCGTAAGTAAGGTTTACTTACGTCTATCCCTATATACAGAGTCACACATATAGGTTTACTTAGTAATAAATCTTTTTATGAAAAAAAATATCAGACCTTTTATGCCTTTAAAATAGGCTTTAAATGTTTTTTTTTTATAAATATTTTTTTTATAAACAAAAAAAAAATTGTAAAAAAATTACCTGTGCAAAATTAATAAAAGTTCCTGTCATGCCTCTAATACTGTCTTCACTTATTTCTTTCACATATAGTGGGCATACTACGAAGGCGCCGCCTGAGCCAAACCCAATGAGTGCGCGTGCGCCGATCAATGCTATAGGGTGTGCACTTACCAGTTTAACTACCCAACCGAGCTGAAAAAATAACAATATTCACTTTAAATAACAAATAAAGTAATAAGTAGACTATAGATTTCCGAGTATTTCGTATTTTTTACTAACTAAACCCATAGGGAATATGATTTTTTTATTTTTTTATATATGTAATAGCTTACATCGATATGTAATTGGAAAAAAATATCCAGCTCAAAAAAACTAAAATTTAGTATATATTTTTTTTATAATATCATACATATATGTTTATCATACAGATTGGGAAATGGGCAGGGAGAAGAAGGCTTGGCGTGACGGCATAGTATATGACAACATTGCAATCAACGAATGAACAGGTCTAGATTGTTAGTACCAATTGCAAACACTAAAAAACAACGCTCTGTTATTATAGACTTTGACGTCACATTCAGTCTGACCAATGGCGTTGCGTTTCAACTACTTTGAATTTCCCACCTATTTTTGCACTTTTTAATAATTATTTTCTTAATAAAAAAGAAATTACAAAAAAAATAATGATATACGCTTAAATCAGAAGCAATAAAGATTATAAAAAATATATTTCACCTTTATTTAAATCACATGCATATTCTCTATTCAATGCTACGAAAAAAAATGTTTACTTAATTATATTTTTCTATTTACACAAATAGTAGAAAAATATTATATTATAAAAAAATGGCAATTATTTGGCTTGAATTGAAAGACTTAGAAGTTTATTTGTAATACTCCTTAAGCTTTACGTTCTGTATTTTTTGGAATTTTCAGGCTATATATAATTTTCGAGGATCAATCGAATAGGGCTCAAGTTAAATAATAATTACCGATATAGGCAAAGACGAGAAAAGCAAAGCAGCTCTCCTTCCAAATTTATCTGCTGCAACTCCATAGATGAAAACAGCAATAGGTGCAAATATAAACATGATAGACGCCATCCAAGACACGTCCTCTTCAGTAAGAGGCGGTTTTGAAGGTGAATCTTCCCCCATTAGAAGTGCTTTATTTGGAGAAATCCAGCCCATGGAGGTGCCATAAGCAACAATCGGCAGGCATACTGAAACAAGAAATTAAATGTACATGATACAATATGTATAACTGCTTTGGTGGTCTAGTGGCTAACGTGGATGGCTGTAGATCCGGAGGTCCTGGGTTTGAATCCCGGGGCGGGCCAAATTTGATCACTAAGTTTTTCTGTTAAGATATTTTCAGTAGTAGTCCGGAGTTGGGATGTTGGTGTTGTACCCCCGTGCCTTGGAGAGCACGTGAAGCCATCGGTCCTGCGCCTTAACTCTAACCCGTCGTATAGAAGTATCATCCCATCGGATTTAGTGACTAAAAGGAATACAGAGTATATCCGGTTACCAAGTCTCAGGGAGATAGGATGCCGCGGCCGAAATTAGTCTGGAGAAGATTACGTATAATACCTACTATATTGTACCCCCTGTTGTATATAACTGCCTCGGTGGTGTAGTGGCTAGCATGTACGGCTGCACACCCGGAGGTCCTGGGTTCGAATCCGGGTCGGGCCAAGTTTAGTTATTGAGTCTTCCTGTATAGTAAGTCTCAGTAACAGCCCGGAGTTGGGAAGTTGGCGGTGTTTCACCCCCGTGCCTCGGAGAGCACGTAAAGCCGTTGGTCCTGCGCCTTAACTCTCACCGGTCGTGTCGAGTGGTCGTCCCACCGGAGTATGAGAGTGATAGGAATAGAAAGTGCACTTGTGTCTGCGCGTTCACTTGAGCACTATAATATCTCCTGCGCAGTTGGCTAATCTCATTGAGATTGGCCGCCGTGGCCGGAATCGGCTAGGAGAACATCATCATTGTACCCCGCTCGTGTAAAAATGAATGGTTATTATTTTACGAGTACATTTTTTTTCCATAACTTTGATGGATAAAGGAATTTTCTATATATCATTCATTTAAACCCTGCATACCTTGTTGTTTACAGCATATCTATATATAAATATTAGTCTTGACGTCAGTTACTGGTTTCTGCTTATTTAACACAAACAATAATGTCACGGTGTCTTTATAATGCAAACGGCTGAAGAAATGCATATGGTCTATATGTATTTACTAAATGCGAGCATCGAATCCGCTACTTCCAATGAACATAAGAAACTAGTATCAGTCATTTTTAATACAATAATAATATATATTATTGAATAAAGCCTATTATACCGTCACGGAATAGTTTGTAGATATCAATGTGTGGAACTAATGTCTGGTTGGGTCTCACGTAAGATACGTAGATAATTATAATTATATTAAAATATTGTATACGTAGTAAAAGTAGGTATTATTTTAAGAGAGCAACTGTTGAGTTTCTCGCCAGCTCTTCTCAGCAGAATTACAGAACCTGTTTAAGATTCCTGACGGACTGAATATACTGACATTTAATTTAAATTTAAAATGTACAATTGACGTTTGAAAAGTGCTTGTAAAAATATATTTGAATTAAGAATATTTTGATTTGATTTAATTAAGTGATCGCTCCGTGGCTTTTAAGCCACTTTGATTTTAATCAACCGCAATTCATTAAGTTTGATCGATATTGAGGTACTTTTTTCAAAGTTATACTTATAGATAGTCTATAAAATCAAAACAGTATATATGCGTGTGTGTGTGTGTCAAATACATGGTAGTGTGTGTAATGTTTTTTTATTGATTTAATGATTTTTTTTGCATAATTAAAAAAAATTAGCATTCTGCACTCCTTCTCTATATAAACTATAAGTGTGGTAAATTTCATCCGCACAACTTTCGTGAAAAGGTGTACATAGTTTTTGCTTCACGTATTAATGTATCGATAAATTATTAATAAATAATCAAAGTTGGTTGGAATTCTTGAAATACCAATAATAATTTATATCTTGCATTTATCACTCATTGTGCGAACATATTATATGTATGTAGTTATATTTTACAACGATAACAAAAATGATTTTATTACATACTTAATTTACGTCATTCTTACATTTATGCTTAAGTATTTTATGTATTAATTTTAATGAAGTTTAGTAATTTTTACATAGAACTTCCTTATTTTGTTATCGTAAAAAAAAACAACATAGAACTATATAAAATTGAATATTTTGTAGTTATAATGCCGCTATCTAGTGGTTTGTTTATGCAAAACTGTAGCTAATGACACATAGAACCTTGTAGCATTTATAACTAAAATTGTAACATAGAACTTTGTAATAGTGAGCCAACGAAATTATGTATAGATTACTACTTATTTTTCGTCACCACGTGCTCATGGCTAGATGAAAGTGGATGGTGAAAGTCTTCAATGGCTACCAAAAAGCCTTCGCATTTTTAATATTAACGAAGCTATAATTAGGATAAGGGAACAGATAACACAGGTATTTTTTTTATACCGCCGCAGCTTAGCGTATGTTAGCGTAGCTTTAAGTGTTTGATAGTCTATACATATAATAAAATTGTAACTAAGCCGAATCTGTACATTAAATATTTTTTGGTAAATCTTATTGAAATAGACATTATTGTCGATACAGAGGCGGAATCTATAATTTTTAGATTATTTGTCTATCTGTCGGTCTGTTTGTCTGTTACCGCATCACAGAAAAACTACTGGAGGGATTTTGATGAAATTTAGTATGGTGGTAGCTGGTTATCCAAGTCAACATATAGGATACTTTTGAGCGTGAGAAAATATCTCATTTTTGAAAAAAATATACAAAAACTGCAATGTAAGAGTATACTAATATGTAAAACCTAAGAATTTTTTTTTGGTCATCTGACCGCGGGCGGAGCCGCGAGCAATGCTAGTCTGATATATGACTCCTTAAAGGATGTACCACTGCATGATGCTCAGCACGGTTTTAGAACAGGTTTGTTAGGTATTGGACATGGACAGGTTTTTTGGCATTTCTTAGAAACGTCGAATGCATTTGAAATGATCTCTTGCAAAAAATAAAATAAAGCTCTTATAGAAAAAAATTAGAACAGGTTAACGTACCAATGGACTTAATTAATATATTAAATATTGGTATAAAAATCAAATAAATTATGTAAAATGAGGAGACGCACAGTCGAACGCATATAAACTAGAATGTGAAGTCAGGCAGCCCAGTCTGACATTGTTTTTTTTAGGTTGGGAAATGCATTATAGATACCACCTGCATACATACAACAGTCCACTCTGCTATCAGAGAAGTACCAAATCCTAGTGCATTTCTTGGCTTCGCGCCCGGTTGGATTGCCGAACGCTAATGAAACCCAATCACGACTAGGTGAAAGCATATTAGGAACGGCTTTACCTATTTGGCTAATTCTATTTTTGTTGTGTTTGTAATTTCCAGAACAAGGTTTGGGTGAAGAAAAGTGAAAAATTTGGGTTAAATAATAAAACAGTGAGTTGACAGATTGATGGCTGTTCAGTTTCTTCATCATGACAACAATATTTTAATAAAAACTATTTTTTTTTAAAAACTGACTTCCATGCAATAAAATGTAAAAAATAACTAAACGAGGGTTTACATTTAGAATAGATACCTAATCAGATATTGTCAAAGTCGGTGCCAGGCGACAATATTTTAAGATATGAATATCTAATAGGTAAATATGTGTTTTACGTATCGAAATATATTAGATTTGCTTTGCATACACATATTTACAAAAAAAAAATATGTTTTAATCGACACTTTTGAATTTAAGTTTTCAACAGTGTTTTTAACGAGTACCCTTTGATTTAATTGAAAATTTTCTATTTCAACTTCTATCCATCCATATAATGGGGAAGAATTTTGCTATTTTCTCCCGCCAGATGACGCGATCACTATGATACTCGGTACATTGTAAAGCTATAAAGCGTGGATGGTTTTTTTTATTTTATTTAAAATTTAACAAATTATGCAGTGCCAAGAAAATGGATATCATTTGTTTCCAAAAGACGAAAAACTGAAGAAATTGTGAGCTAAAGCAATAAGACGATCAAAATTGGCGAAATCACAATCTTAATATTTAAGGCTATGTGGACATTTTACAGAAAGTGTTGAACAGTGTAATACGCTTCGCTCAATAAAATATTATTATTTCATTTCCGAGAAATATATCACTTACCATTATTTAGTTGTGTAATAAATGTAATTGTGTATTTAGTACTTATAATTATTTTGCATGGTTACTCGTCTACGAATTATTTGGCAAGGGCTTCTGTTCACTGAACATAATAATAATAATAATAATCTTTATTCGGTATCTCAAAAATTTTACAATAGAATTCACTGAACATGAAGTGAATTATTTTTGTATCGATATTTTCATTTCAAATACTTGCTTGTAAAAGCTTGCTTTCACTCGCGGTTGCGCTCGAGTATTAAGACGTTATAAAAACTTAAAAAAAACCTACCTTTTTACTTACCTATTAGGTATTCATATCTTAAAATATTGTAGGCTGGCACCGACTTTTAATTTAAGTTAAATTTAATGAATTCGAAATTAGGTAGTTTAAAACCTTGGCTTTTTTTAAAAACAACATCGTTTCATAATTATTCACTAGTACTCTTTTGCAGTTTCAGTTGGTTTGATTACCGGCTCAAGTAAGCTTTTTAAAAAAAATCAAATGTAGTTAGTTATTAATATTTAAAAAATAAGGGAATGCTTACTTCGAGTGTAACTTTAATATCTTTAATATAATATATTTTTTTCAACTTCCCGTCATTTATTCCATTTTCTATACTTCTGAATTAAGAGCGGTTAAAATAATATAATTAAATTTTTAAATTACAAAACTGTGATACTCTGTCGTAATAGTTTTTATACGATCCATACACAAAATCGATAATAGCACTATAAGCGAAATATTTTCTCGTTTAAAAATATGCATATTAAAAAATAAAATAAATTTAAAAAAATATTTTCTCTTTTGAAATCTTCATAACTTAATATAACATTTATTATAGCATACATTAATATTTTATTTATTAGTAACAAGGCAATAGAGAATGCCGCATCCACATTAGAGATTTTTCGTCGTATACTCGTATAATAATATACATACATAGTTGTAATTCAAAAATAGCTCTGC